AGACGCAGATTCAGAGTTCCACATGAGGTGGTTATTAATTAGCAAATAATATAAATATTACGAGCGTAAACATTAGGTAACATTAGTAACGTTAGGTTACTTGGTAACCCCGTGTCCTAACACGCTATGTCATGAGATTTGCAGTGATGAGCAGTTTGGCTGAATAGTGCACTCGCTGCACTCCAGCAAAATGGTAAGGTTTATAATCTAATGAATACATATTAAACATCTCCAACATGATTAAATGTAGATGCTGAATCACTGATATGTAGGGGTGTCAAAATGAATTGTTTCTTCGATGCACCGCGATGCAGACGCGGAAAATTCGGTATCAGTATAGTAATAATCATAACCGGTTATTATGTACTGACGTCATTTATCTCCTATGCGCTCTGTCGTGAGGGAGGCGAGCGTGAGTATTTACAACACTCAACCAACTCAGGACCGGCCCGTGGCATCGGCACTATAGGCAAATGCTAAGGGTGCTGTATATCCAGGGGGCGCCAGAAATGAGCGCGGTTCAGTTGGTTTTGTTTTTGATATTCCTGACACACATTCAGTTTTAGACGGCAATAACTCAAAAACCTCTTACCCTAAAAAGATCTAAAGTGTGTTTCCTACAAAAAGACAAAGCTGGTTATGTTTCACAGCTGTCTTTCTCTTTTTTTTCGCTCGACATTATGAGCACTGCTCCGTTTAACCCCTCGCAATATGTGTTTAGCCAGGAGAGCTCGCGCTGAGAGGAGCTTTCAGTAAGGGACCGTCGGAAAAGAGCTTCTTTTTTTAGTTTTTTTTCCGTTTATCTGCTCAGCTCAGCGCGAGCTCTCCCTGTTGCGAGGGCTTAAGTGTGTTTGTGTTTGTTTGTTTGTTTGTTTGTTTGGTGCTGTCTATGTTTGTGAATGTGTTTGAATGAGAGACAGTGTGGTGTTGTGTGTCTGTGTGTTTATACAGACAGCATGTTATAGCCTCCCCCCTAAAATTTAATACTGTTTGGAAATCATCGTCAATGCACCGTGATGCACCGAGATATCGAATTGAACTGAATCGAAGGCATGATAATCGTAACCGAACTGAACCGTGAGACCAGTATAGGTTTACACCTCTACTGATATGTGTTGAAAATAAATGTGATGCAAAATAGCATTCAGACTCACATTATTAACATTTAGCACTGAATAAAGCACATGAGGTGCACCCGTCAAGTCAAACTCAAATAGAAGGAGAAAAAAAATCCATCATGTCCAGAAGGACATGAAGTAGAATCACCACAAAAAGGAAACTGAAACTCAACCAGAACCAGTGGCGTTGCGGGTTTGAGGGGTGTGGGATCTTTTGTAATATGTTGCACAAAAAAAAAAAAAAAAAACAGTTGTAAAACAATAATTTTGTTATCTAAGTACTAAGTGCTTAAATTCCCGCGCATTCAACTTAACGCAGCTTTTGTATCGGGTATTTAAAAAAGTGTTGCATGCAGAACTGTTGCAAACAAATTATTTGTGTTGAATTTAAACAAACAAAATAATTTTAATAATGCTCAACTTAATTTGTTTGTTTAAATTCTGCCCAAATAAATTGTTTACAACAACTTGACGTAAAAAAAAAAAAAAATTAAATCCAGGAATCGTCTTTGAAAAAATTTTTAGTGTAGTCAGCAGTTCAGCAGTACCTGTTTCTACCGGCAGGTGGAGTAGGACTGTTGTTACACGGCAAGTGTTAAAATAATACTGCCACTGCACTGTCGTCATTCATTCTTTATTTTGAGGAGCTGAAGCGGGTGAGGTTATAAAAATTACATTAAAGGACTTCCATGTGACCAGAAATGAGGAAAGATATTTTAAAGGTTATGGTATTTCATTAAAGATTATAAATTAGTATTTAAAATAACGAAGTGCAAAGATGGGCAACACGGTGGCGCAGTAGGTAGTGCTGTGTCGCCTCACAGCCAGGTCGCTGGTTCAAGCCTCGGCTGGGCCAGTTGGCGTTTCTGTGTGGAGTTTGCATGTCCTTCCATTGTTGGCATGGGTTTCCTCCGGGTGCTCCGGTTTCCCCCACAGTCCAAAGACATGTGGTACAGGTGAATTGGGTAGGCTAAATTGTCCGTAGTGTATAAGTGTGTGAGTGTGCATGAATGTTTCCAAGTAATGGTTTGCAACTGGAAGGGCGTCTGCTGTGTAAAACATGCTAGATGGGTTGGCGGTTCCTCCTGCTGTGGCAACACCAGATTAATAAAGGAACTAAGCCAAAAAGAAAATGAATGATCTTTAAGTTCCTGTATAATTTGCATGTAACAAACAATATAATTATTGTTCACACACACACACACAAAAGTGCAGCAGCTCAAAGCTTTAAGATGAAGAATGTGAAATATGCTCATCTACCACTAGGGGGGGATAAGCGCTGAGAATTAAACACCATTAAACAGAAGAAGATAGGAGAGTGGCTCTCCCCTGAGAAGAGGGACGAGTCCATTAATATTTAATATCATAATTAATATAATTTAAAAATCAATAATTAATGACATCTTTGAAAAAAGTGTCACCAGGGATTCAAGTGGCCTATATATAAGTGGCCTATATATATATTGAATATATATATATATATATATATAAGTCTAAAATGGAATAATCTGGAAAAGAGGAAGTATAAATGATATAGTATGAATGAGGATTTACATTTTTCATTCATTCAATCATTTTCTTGTCGGCTTAGTCTATTTATTAATCCGGGGTCGCCACAGCGGAATGAACCGCCAACTTATCCAGCAAGTTTTTACGCAGCCGATGCCCTTCCAGCCGCAACCCATCTCTGAGAAAGGATTTACATTTTCAATAGCAAAAACTATCTGATATTTACCAGGAAAAATGGACATGTGGATTGATTATGAATATGATAAAAGGGTTAGTTCACCTAAAAATGAACAATCTGTTATATATTTCTCACCTTGGTGTCGTTCCAAACCCCCGAGACGTTCATTGATCATCTTCAGAACACACATTTTGCTAATTTAGGTGGAATTTAAGGCACCTAGGGTCATGAAAGGGCATTTATACCGGTCTTATGTGATCAGTCCTAGATTATGAATGCATTGTGTATGGACTACACTGTAAACTATGCATGATAAAGCACTGAGGCTCATTTTAGGAGCAGTTTTGACTCCAGTTACAGCAGTAGAAACCCTCAGAGCACCACTGTTCTGTATATAAGAGGGAAAAATCTCAGCACATACTGGAGAAAGAGTGGATTCTCCTGCAAAATAAACGTTTCTTCTAAGAGTACAGTGTGTTTTCAGATAATAAATAAGATTTTATAAGTATTTATTTTTCAGCAAGACAGAAGAATTGAAGCAAATATGCCATAGGTTTTAAGAAAAACAGTTATTTTAGGCCACAAATAATTAAAAGAGTCAGTGCAAAGTCCTGAAGAGAGAGCGATCAATGAGTGTAGGCATTACAGTGTAAGTAAATAAACCTGGTCAGATATGCATGGAAAATAAAGTGAATACAGTATACTGCTGAGAAAGAGGGCTTTGCATTTCCAGCCTGATCTTAGATTGGTCAGGCTGAGAGATGACACGCTAAAACCAGCCTATCTAGTCTGGGAGCCCAGCCAAAACCAGCTATATCCAGGCTAGCAGAAAGAAGGTCGCTGGTTCGAGTCCCGACTGGTTCAGTTGGCGTTTCCGTGTGGAGTTTGCATGTCCCCCCATGTTGGAGTGGGTTTTCTCCGGGTGCTTTGTTTTCCCCCATACAAAGAGATGGTAAAAGTGAATTGGGTAAGCTATACTGGCCATGTGTGAATGAGAGTGTATGGATGATTCCCAGTACTGGGTTGCAGCTGGAGGGGCATCCGTTGTGTAAAACATATGATAAGTTGGCGGTTCTTTCCGTTGTGGCGACCCCAGTTTAATAAAGAGACTAAGCCGAAAGGAATATGAATGAATAAATGATGACAGACATAATATATGACTAGATATTCTTCAAGACACTTCTATACACCTTAAAGTGACATTTAAAGGTTTAACTAGGGTAATTAGGTTAAGGTTAGGGTAATTAGCAAGTTATTGTATAACAATGGTTTGTTTTGTAGTGTATTAAAAAAAAAAAAACACACACACACACACACCAACATAACAAATAATAAAACAATAAACAAATAGATAAATAAATAAGTAAAACTAACTAGTAAACAAGTAAATAAAAAAGTAAATAAAATAAATAATCTAACTAATAAATAAATAAAAAATAGGTAAAAAATAAATTAACAAATGAGCAAACAAGTAAATACATTTTTTATAAACAAATAAATAAATAAGTTAAAACAAACAAGCAAGCAAATAAGTAAATAAAACAAACAAATAAAAGAAACGAACAAACCAAAAACTAAATAAAATTAAACAAACAAAAAGATAAATAAATAAACAAACAAATAAAACAAATAAGTTAAAACAAACAAATAAAATAAAACAAACAAACCAACAAGTAAATAAAAAATCAAATAAACAAACAAACAAATCAATGAATTATTAATTTAAAAATTATCTATAAAAAGTAAAAAAAAAATGAGCAGATAATGGAGCACTTTGAGGCGGTGGCGTGTTCCTGAGGATCTGCGAATACTTCATGCACTTAATCTCGAGCGATTACAGGACAACAGCAGCTGTTCGGGATTAGCATAAACTGTATAACGGCACTACAGTTCTACAGTACAGTTCTCCAGCTGAAACATCTCATCCCACCATTAAATCCAGAGGAAAGAACTTGTGCATCTTATCTATTGTGTATATTAAACTGTTTGACCAATTTAAGCATCCATTATATGAGTTTCTCCTAAATTAGCATAATTTGTACTTCATAAGTACCCAAAATGTCTTGATAATTCAAGAATGATCATGTAAGGTGTATATACAGAAAATGAGGCAGACACAGATACAGTTTCTGCTAGATTAATAATTAACAGAATCTTTCACCATCTGATTATTAAATAAAGTCCATCAAACCACACAGTGTTCTGGTATTATTTTATCATAATGAGCAGACAGTTTCAAAACAAATCCATTATGTAAAACACTGTGCAGGAATTACAAAAGCATTTCAAACCTTGACATAAAAAACTGAGTAAATACAAAACAGAGAGAGTTTATCTTGAAGATGTCAGAAGTTCTGGAGATCTGCGGGATGCACAAAGTTGTTTCTGAAGAGTCGATAAGCCAGAAGCTGCCCGCCAAAAATCATCATCAATAACCCCGAGCCTACGAGACAGAAGACACGCGTATTACCATGATTACTTCAAGTTCAGTGCTAGATTCAATTCACTCAATATTCTTTTACAATACTCTCAAGTTAAGTTGAGTTTTACCATTCACTCTTAAAAATAAAGGTGCTTTAAAAGGTTCTTTGTGGTGTAGATGGTTCTTTGAAAAATCTTTAACAGCCATGGAACCTTTTCAACTCATAAAGGCACTATAAAATGGTTCTTTGCACTATAAAATGGTTCTTTAAAACAGTTCATTAATTCTGTTTATTTATTTGTGTAAATGTGTGTAAATCTATATTTATTTCGTTTTTTTATTCACTTCAGAAATATTATTGACTAATATGTAACTGTTAAATCTGACTTATGTACAGTTTGTACAGTAATATTTATAGACTTTTAGTAGATATATTATATGAGAGACTTTGGCTTTGTTTACCAAATAAAGTGAATCTAATTAGATTTGCATTTTAAACATAAAAAAAGTTAAACAGATATTATTTTTTATTTTACATATGAGGGTTTTAGTTATGATATTCCCAAAATAATTCCGCAGATGTTTACCAAAATTCTCAGCAGAAATAGCAAAAATGTCCGCAGATTCCGTCTGGCCTTAGTGACAATCTTTCTGAACCCATTCAGTAGGGATGTGCGATACCACGGGTTTCCTATCCCATCCGATACCAAGTAAAATGAAGGAGAATATCGGCAATACCGATCCAATACCAATACTTTGCCCAAAAATGCCTGTTTGGGAAATTAAAGTAACAAGTAGTGTACCTAAAAGTGTCACTTTACACTGAATACGAGACATATTACAGGTTATTCTTGTTTATTGATGAAGAATTATCACACAAAAAAAGAGCCAACTTACATATTTATTGACAGCATCTGAGCATGTCTTAAAACGTCTACCTGAACATCTTGACATAAAACAATAAACATTTACACTTTTTAGTTTAGTGACATGTTAATCGGGTCCACTTGAATATAATATTTAATATATGAGCAATTCCAGCGTTATGGATGTGACATTTGCAGTAAAAACTCAACACATAAATTGACAGAGAAAGTATATGTTAACATTATATTGAAAAATTTGATTATATTTTCTAGAGCAACTAGCCACAGGGTTATGGGAGCAGAAAGATATCAATCTGTAAACGTGTTTTGTACTTTAAATGAGGAAAATAAGCATGCGTTATGGATGTGACAAAAAAAGTCTGCGAGTTTACAGTATACAACACACTTTGTAGAAATTATGTGAATTAAACTGCACAAACCAAAAGAAATAACGCTAATCAAAAGGATTAGAGTCGGCTCTCTATAAAACAAAAATGATTGGTTTTATTTTATTTAATATTTTCACATTTCTGAGGAAAAAGTGTCGTTATGGATGTGACATCTCTCTGTTATGGATGTGACGCATGTGAAATTACCATTTGTGTGACTTGGGTAAATCAAATAGAATAGTTTGAAAACATTGACAGATGCATTTTTGAGTATTTCTAAAGTACTGTAAAATACTTGCTTACACAAACAACCCAGAAATGGTTTCCGTATTTTGGTAAAAACGTATTTTTTTTTCATGGCAAGGTTGACATTTGCACGGAATTGCTCATATAATATTTACATATTTACAAAAATAAGTGTTTGTTTAATTAGAAAGTAATGCTTATAATGCACAGCTCATTTGAAGTTTGACCTATAATAAACATCAACAGAGCGTTGTGGTCTTTACAAACAACCAGTGGTGTAAAGTAACTAACTACAGATACTCAAATGACTGTAATTGAGTAATTTTTTGCAGGAATTGTTAATTACTAAGTAAAAATGTGTACTTTTGCTTTCACTTGGGTATGTTTTTAGTGCTGTACCGGTACTTTTACTCTACTACTTTTCCTCAACCTGCAGTCACTGCTTTATTTTCTCTTGTCCAGGGGGATTAGAAAAATCATTCCTGTGATTCCTGTCCAATCAGATCACACACAGAGGGTAAATCGCATCATAATGATCTACCTCAAGACATGAGCGCTTTATAATTGCAGCAAACTGTTTGAAAGTGTTAAAAGTGTCCAAGAAGATGTCCAAAATCTTTACACGCACTGACCTAGAGACTGTTTAGACGCACATCACTGATGAGAAGATGACGGATGTTTACAGTATGAAGACCGAAATGGCCTTAAACACCCAGCAGGCACAAGATGTCAACATGACGTCAGATTGACGTTGTACCCTAATACAATGGGGATGTTGCATTTTGTTTGGAAATGAAAATCAGGTTGACGTCAGAACTCAAAGCCAGGCTCCAACCTAAAACCAACCAAATATCAACATCTAATGAGGTTACAGCTTGACGTTGTGAACGTTACCACTATGACGTCTATTAAATGTTGAATTTTGGTTGCCATAACTAATGAATAAATGTCAGTATTTGACGTCAATATGACGTTGGTTTAAGATGTTTGCTCGACGTTGAATTTTGGTTACTTTCTAACAACCTAAAATCGACCAAATATCAACGTCATCTAATGCTATTATTGGACAGCAAAATAACGCTGTCCTTAGATGCTGGCTAGACATTGAATTTTGGTCACCAGACATCACAACCTAAATCTAACCTAATATTAACATCATATGAGATTGTGTGCCTGCTGGGCAATAACTAGATGCACTACAGAATGTTACGTTTACACTCACATGCACAAATTAGATGTAAATGCATCAGCTTTTTACAGCTTAATACTCATTACTCTTTAATCCTGAGTACTTTAGAAAGCTCTACTTTTTACTCAAACTTTGAGTAATATTTACAGCAGATACTTTTACTCTAATTGCACTACATTTTTTAAGTAATGATACTTTAACTTGAGTATGATTTTTCAGTACTCTTTACACCACTGCACAACAAGTTATCACTGAAATGATTTGGCATAGATGAATATGTCATGATGAAAACTCACCGAGAGCAATCCACCAGTGCTCTGTTGAGGGAAAATCAGCCATGACTGAAAGCAAAACCAAAGTAAAAACCCCGGGTTGAAGAACAGCCATACTACACATATTCAGCATTCAACACAATCACATGCACTTCAGCAAGGAAAAACACATCTCCATAGAGTTGTCTACACTGTCTTGTGTTGAGTCCAAATCAAGAAGCATTTACTAGACAAACGAGAAATGTCTTGTTTTCATAAATAATGAGTCAAAATTAAGTGAGATTTTACGCAAAACTGTATTATCTAAAGTGCTAAACCACGTGATTGCGTAGCTTTTCTGTAAAACAAGCAAAATAATCTGCCACAAAATCTGAAGCATTTAGTTTAGATGTTTTTTAGAGGCTGAATTCAAATCGAAGAAATGTAAACGGGATGTCATCTGGTGGTCGTGTCTGGTACTGCGGCCAAACATAAATATTACTGAAAGCTCATTTTTTGAGATCTCAACTTCAAATTCGCAATATAATTTGTTCAGATATGTAGGTTAGATTTTTTGGTCAATTTTAGGCTGAAACGTTTTGTAAAATACACATTTTGTGCATTATTTGATAAAGATAAAGTATTCAAAAATACGGTTCATATTCCTCAAAATATAGGGGGCGCCATTGTATGTTCACCAATGTAAAACCAATGTCCTGGTGGTCGTGTCTGGTACTGCAGCCAAACAAAATATTACTGAAACTTATTTTTGAGATATCAACTTCAAATTTGGAATTTAATTTGTTCATATGTGTAGCTTAGATTTTTTTGTCAATTTTCAGCTAAATGTTTTGTAAAATACAAATATTATGCATTGTTCGATAAAGATAAAGCACATAAATTTAGTTTTATTCAACTTTTTTTCAAACTTTACTGTCTAAAGTGGTTATTCTGGCAGAATCTACAAAACTAAACAACTGATTACTTGCCAAACCATGTTATTACATTGCTTTTTTTGTAAAACAAGCACAATAATCTGCTACATATAAAATTTAGATGTTTTTAGAGGCTAAATTCAAATTAAATACCACCAAACTGCCCATACTGCGTCAGAATTTGATGTCTACATTACAAATATTGTCAACAGTATGAGCAAATACGGTTCACATTCCTCAAAATATAGGGGGCGCCATTGTATGTTCACCAATGTAAAAGGGATCGTGGTGGTCGTGTCTGGTACTGCAGCAAAACAAAATATTACTGAAACTTTTTTTTGAGATATCAACTTCAAATTTGGAATTTAATTTGTTCATATGTGTAGCTTAGATTTTTTTGTCAATTTTCGGCTAAATGTTTGGTAAAATACAAATATTATGCATTATTTGATAAAGATAAAGCACATAACTTTTGTTTTATTCAACTTTTTTTCAAACTTTATTGTCTAAAGTGGTTATTCTGGCAAAATCTACAAAACTAACCAACTGATTACTTGCTAAACCATGTGATTACATAGTTTTTCCATAAAACAAGCAAAAAAATCTGCCAATAGGGTAAGCAAAATAATCTTATTGCGAAGTGAAATCAAGATTATTTTCTATTGAAATATATTGTCTTGTTTTTAGAAATATGGAGTCAAAATTGAGTGAGATTTTCCACAAAACTTGTGGTTATTCTGGCAGAATCTATAAAACTAAACAACTGATTACTTGCCAAACCACGCTATTCCATTGCTTTTTTGTAAAACAAGCACAATAATCTGCTACATGTAAAATTTTTATGTTTTTTAGAGGCTAAATTCAAATCAAATACCACCAAACTGCCCATACTGCGTCAGAATTTGACGTCTACATTACAAATATTGTCAACAGTATGAGCAAATACGGTTCATATTCCTCAAAATATAGGGGGCGCCATTGTATGTTCACCAATGTAAAAGGGATCCTGGTGGTCGTGTCTGGTACTGCAGCAAAAAAAAATATTACTGAAACTCATTTTTTGAGATATTAACTTCAAATTTGGAATATAATTTGTTCAGATGTGTAGGTTAGATTTTTTGTCAATTTTAGGCTAAATGTTTTGTTAAATACAAATTTCTATGCATTATTTGATAAAAAAATAAAGCACATAACTTTTGTTTTATTCAACTTTTTTCGAACTTTATTGTCTAAAGTGGTTATTCTGAACCATGTGGAAAATTAAAAAAAATTAAGCCAACTTAACAATACCCAGTTACGCTGGCTTTTACTCACTTTTTAAAGTGACTAAATAGTTTTTACAGTGTGTGTGTGTGTGTGTGTGTGTGTGTGTGTAGATCTTCCGACCTGCGACAGTGAGGGCGACATGCAGCAGTGTGACAGTAATGGCGTAATCCCACACCCACTCCTCGACGATCCATGCGAACACCAGACCACCCAGAACATACGTCACCTCTGTGGAGATCACACTCACTGCACACACACACACACACACACACACACACACACACACACACACACACACACACATGAACACACATATTTACAAACAAGCACACAGACACACACCAGCTTTACACACTCTTTACTCAAGCGTTAGACATTCTTTACTCCAGCTCTGGATACTCTTTACCTCAGCTTTACTCCCTGTTTACTCCATCTTTTCACACTCTTTACTCCCATCTTTACACACTTTTACTCCAGCGTTACACTCTTCAATCCTGCTTTGCACAATCTTTTTTCCAGCTTTACTCACTTTTTACTCCAGCCTTACACTCATTATTTACTCGTTTAATCCAGCTTTACACACTCTTTAGTCCAGCTATACACACTTTACACCAGTTTTACTCTGTCTTTAGTCCAGCTTAACACACTCTTTACTCTAGCTTTACACACTCTTTAATCCAGCTTTACACATTCTTTACTCTAGCTTTACACACTCTTTACTCCAGCTTTACACACTCTTTACTCCAGCTTTACACACTCTTTACTCCAGCTTTACACACTCTTTACTCCAACTTTACACACTCTTTACTCCAACTTTACACACTCTTTACTCCAGCTTTACACTCTTTACTCTAGCTTTACACACTCTTTACTCCAGCTTTACACACTCTTTACTCTAGCTTTACACACTCTTTACTCCAGCTATACACACTCTTTACTCCAGCTTCACATGTCCTTTACTCCCGTTTACACACTCTTTACTATAGTTTTACACCCACTTTACTCCTGCTTTAAACACTCTTTACTCTAGCTTTACACACTCTTTACTCCAGTTGTACACAAACTTTACTCCAGCTTTACACACTTTATACTTTAGCTTTACACACTCTTTACTCCAGTTGTACTCCATCTTTACTCCAGCTCTATGCATTCTTTACTTTAGCTTCACACACTCTTTACTCCATCCTTACATTCTTTACTCCAGCTTTACACACACTTTATTCTAGCTTTACACTCTTTACTCCAGCTTTACTCACGCTTTACTCCAACTTTACTCTCTCTTTACTCCCTCTTCATTCCAGCTTTACACACTTTTGTTTTTACACAATCTTTACTCCATCTTTACTCCAGCTCTATACACTCTTTGCTCCAGCTTTACTCACTCTTTACTCTAGCTTTACACACTCTTTATTCCAACTTTATCCTCTCTTTACTCTCTCTTCATTCTAGCTCTACACACTCTTTACTCCGTCTTTACACTCTTAACTCCATCCTTACACACTCTTTAATCTAGCTAACTTCCTCATTGTTTAAGCTTTACACAATCTTCACTTTATTTTTACACACTCCTTCCTCCATCTTTGTTCTGGCTATACACATTCTTTACTCCAGCTTTACTCTGTCTTTACTTTAGCTTTATGCAAACTTTACTCCAGCTTTACACACTCTTTACTCCATATTTACTCCAGCTATACACACTCTTTACTCCAGCTTTACTCTGTCTTTACTCAAGCTTTATGCTCTCTTTACTCCAGCTTTACACACTCCTTATTCCATCTTTACACACCCTTTACTCCCGCTATACACACTCTTTACTCCAACATTACACACTCTTCACTCCAGCTTTACTCTATCTTTACTCCAGCTTTACACACTCTTTACTACAGCTTTACACAATCTTTACTTTATCTTTACACATTCTTTGCTCCAGCTCTACACACTCTTTACTCCAGCTTTACTTACTCTTTACGCCAGCGTTACTCACTCTATACTACAACTTTACACACTCTGTACTCCAAGATTTACACACTCTTGTAAAGTGTGTAAACACTGCGTACTGCATCCACACTAGCATACCTAAGTATTTGGGACTTTGCCATGATGGTTGTGTGGTGTAGTCAAATGGTGCTAACAAGCTGTCGACCTCCTCCACCCTGATGACAACAAACAAACAATCAACAGATGACAAAATAAACAAACAACACCAGATGAACACACAGAGAGGTGGAGTTAAATCTGTGTGCAGATCATGAATGTGATGCTGATATGCTGTTAATGTTTTTAGATTTTTTGATTAATGTAATATTAAACATAAGACAGAACAGAGTGAAATCCAACACATGATATAAATACCAATAATAATAAACATAAATAAAAAAATAACAATAAAAATAATACAAATTAATCAAAATATATAAATAATATACCTTAAAATATTTTTAAATAAATATTATTTATTTAAAAATATTTATTAATTAATTTTTCTTCAGCTTAGTCTCTATTTCATAGGTCGCCACAGCAGAATGAACCGCCAACAATTCCAGCATAACTTTTACACAACCGATGCCCTTCCGGCTGCAACCCAGTACTGGGAAACACACATACACAGTCATTCACACACACACGCACACACACACACACACACACACACACACACATACACTATGGTCAATTTAGCTTATTCAATTCCCCTATAGCGCATGTGTTTGGACTGTAGGGGAAACCGGAGCATGGGGAGAACATGCAAACTCCACACAGAAACGCCAACTGACCTAGCCAAGACTCGAACCAGCAACCTTCTTGTTGTGAGGCTACAGTGCTAATCACTGAGACACTGTGCTGCCCCAGCCTATTTAATAACTAATTATTTTATTTATTTATATGACTATGAATGCTTAAAGCTATTTAAACACAGCCATCATCATCTTAATTTCTGTTTATACACATTCCTGTTATTAATATTTCTCTTCTACTGCTGTTTATGTCTTCTTAGTTGATGTTATATGTTTGTAATCTTAATTATAAATTTATTGATTCAATATCATTATCAAGTTTATGAGTTAAATAGAAGAACTGCCTACAAAAAAACAGCAGCAGGAATCTACACAAAACACCAATAAAGCTGTGTTATAAAGCGTTTAGAGCCACTAATGCAGCAAATGCTTCCCAATTTACACACTGTGTAACTTATATATAATTTAAAAATATATAATTAGTATGTCCTAAACCGTAGTATGTTGAAAACAGGCCAAAGTTTCTCGCATGGTCGACTATTTCTCGTAGTGTTTTGAAGTGTAGAACCGTCCGTTAGTCATGAACTCCATTAGAACTACAAATTAATGTTAAAAAATGGCAATAAACTACAAACATGGCGGACGCGCGAGACCAACTGTCAAGAGGGGCTTCGGTAAAATGTTTAAATGATTGTTAATTAATTTGTAGCCTACTGGTAAATATTTAAGTCACGTTTCCCGTGTTGTATTTAATCAGCGACAACAACGTGAGCTTCTACAAAGACGTGTTCGGACATTAACTTCTAAATTCTGCACTTGAGGCGATTTCTAGGCATGAAACACTCGCAGATTAACCCGCTGCTGATGCGTCGAGATGTTTGACAGGGCTCGTAACTAAGCAACATAACAGCCCGTTTTTTTCACACACATAACAGTACTTTTAGGACGTAGTGTAAGTAGGCGAATTGGGACAGAGCCGCAGACTATTTTTCTGTCAGTACTACAGGAAGTCGCATGACCACAAAAGAGAAGCAGAGGAAGTTGCTGAAAGTGTAGGATCTCACCTGAGAACGCCGATGCAGACACTGACCACAATATAGTAGAGTGAGTAAAAGCACACCATACACATCAACAGGTTCTGCAGGACAGCCTGACAACACACACACAAACACAGCAGAGGTCCATCAGTGCTGCAGCTTCAACACTGTTCATTCACAGAAGCCACCCAGATAGCAGGCAGTAATCGGCCCGAGCTCGGCTGCCCTCCGGCGCCTCCGGCTCCGACTCGGCATCGGCGAGTGTTATCCGGGCCGAGTGCGGCCCGCAGCTCGCTCGCGCACATGCGGCTGTGATGCGGCTGTAAAGCACTGGCCCGATTCCGGTCAACCATATCCGGTCCGAGTCTGTCTGTAGAGTCCTGGCCGCTTCTGGCAAGGACTCGGCTGATGGCAACTGATTAAGTTCTTATTTTATCTAGTAATCTGTTAGCTCCACGTTTAATGATAATTTGAGAAAATATTCATGGTACGATAGCAAAAAAAAAAAAAAAGAATATTTAGTGTGGATGGTCTCAATGTTTAGACGCAAACAAAACAATATTATTTATAAATAGATTATACATGTCATCTAGAGAAAAACTATGTAAAATTCGCTTATTTTTGAGATAGCACGCTCCTGTGCTGACTGTTTTTTTTTTTTAAAGCAGAAGTTGGTTTCATAATAAACACATGCGTGACTAAACTCATGATCCAAACTCCAATCCAGACGGTGGCGGTAATGCTCCAACAAGCTGGTTGTCAACCACCATGGCACGAAGATCACAAGAAGAAAAAGTTTGATTTTTCAAAGATTCCATGTGGATTCCGGTCAGAAAGGTAAGCTTTTTACTGCTTGTGTTCTGTATAATTAGCGAATTTAGAGCTTAAAACATTTCCACGGTGTTTGGTTGTAACAGCGTTTAGTAATTTAAAACAGTTTGATACGAAATGTAACTTGCTTTAAGAAACACGACTGGAGCTAATGTATGCTAACGCTAACAGTTACAAAACACGTCTGAAAGTTCCTTTTCCTTTTACACAATGTTAGATTGTAACGTGTGTAGTAACTGAAAACTATTTTAATTATTTTAAAGAAACATGAAACGAATTTGTGTGTATGCTAACTTTGCGTTAAAGAAAGTTTCTGTAGACGAATCCATTAACGCTAACATGGCAAAACGTGTTTTTTTCCTGATTTAACATTATAAAGTACCGTGGATGTTGAAAAAATCATTGTACAGGCGTATACTTATCCAACAGTATTAATTCTGTGATTATGTGTAAATAAAAACTAATCGTTTTGGATTAATAAAATATTATTGTTTATCTTGTTTATGCAGTTAGTCACGAAAAATGATTGAAACTCGACTGTTTACTATTCTCTTTAAATTATCCAAGAGAAATATATTAGTGTGCACTTTAATTCATATGTGTTAGCCTATGTGAATCAATTATATCTTTTGTTCAAGCTGTAATGGTCAGTTAATGTAAAACTGAACGTCTTAAAGCAGATTTTGATGTTTTTTTTATGTTATTGACAGTGATAAATTCTGATTTAAATGAATGGGTAACAATATTTGTTGGTTAAGTCTTATTGTTCTTGCACATCACGACCAAAGAAGTCAATGGCACACTCTTTTGAACGTAACAGGCATGTTATAGTTGTGTGCTAAAAGTCCATTATAAGCTGTAAACTGCTGATATATTTCCAACATAGATTGAGCTTTTCAGACTTTACATTACTAATTGCTTCACAAACAGCTGAAATGGTCTATTGTTATTGGCTATCATCATCAAACATTTTTCACAATGGTAGGTTAATCTTCATGGGTACAGAATAATGCATGTGCTTGACCATCTTACAAATCTATGTCTCAGATTCATAAGGCTGTCACTCTGCATGAATCTCCAAATAAATCTTGTGCAACCTTCTGTGTACTGATTATTTACACTATAGGTATTATATGCATTAATTAACTTTGATAGTATTTTAGGATTTGAACTTTTCTTTACGGCAGGTTAACAACAATGTGATGTTTCATTATAGATGCATATGAGGAAGCTCGACTCAAACATCCAACATCCAACCCAACTGTGATTTCTGACTGGTAGACAGATGAGGATGATGATCGCCTGTCATACATCTAAAGACAGAACAGGTTTGTTTGCAATTATTTTAAACACATACTGTCAACATTATGTCATTGATCTATTACAACCTGTGAGTTTTGACCTGGCACTATACTAAAGTGATGTTTTGTTTTGTAAATGTATCTGATTAAGGGACAGTATAGACACATCTATACCGTGATGAAGAAAAATTACTTGGAACAAAGAGGCTGGATAAAAGGCAGGTATGAAGATTTCAGAAATCAAGGCAGCACCACAAGTACCATCACCATCAATGACTATGGCAGAAATCTTAAGACCACCATCAAGATGCACAGATACTGTACATTCCAGTACACCAGGCGTGTCCAAACTACGGCCCGGCTTTTTATAAATATCAATAGAATCTGGCCCGCTATACAAAAATGAACGTAATTCAATAAATAACCACCGGGTGTCACTATTACATGCATTCAATTAAGCAGCAGTTCTTGTTATGATCTATAAATCTATCTATCTATCTGTCTGTCTGTCTGTCTGTCTGTCTGTCTGTGTCTGTCTGTCTGTCTATCTATCTACACACAGTTGAAGTTTGAATTATTAGCCCCTCATTGATTTATTTTTCTTTTTTAAATATTTCCCAAATAATGTTTAACAGAGCAAGAACATTTTTACAGTATGTCTGATAATATTTTTTCTTTTGGAGAAAGACTTATGTTTTATTTTGGCTAGAATAAAAAGCGGTTTAAATTTTTTTATGAACCATTTTAAGGTCAAAATTATTAGCCCCTTATGTCTTCAGAACAAACCATTGTTATAAAATAACTTGCCTAATTACCTTAACTTGACTAGTTAACTTGATTAACCTAGTTAAGCCTTTAAATGTCACTTTAAGCTGTATAGAAGTGTCTTAAAAATATCTAGTCAAATAATATTTACTGTCATCATGGCAAAGATAAAATAAATCAGTTATTAGAAATGAGTTACTAAAACTAATATGTTTAGAAATGTGTGGAAAAAAATGTTTAACTCTCCGTTAAACAGAAATTGGGGAAAAAATAAACGGTGGCTAATAATTTAGGGGGGCTAACAATTCTGACTTCAACTGTATATATATATATATATATATATATATATATATATATATACACACGTGTCTGTGTGATGTATGTAAAATTTGGCCCGCGACAACGTTTGTTTTTTTGCATCTGGCCCTCGACCCAAAAAGTTTGGACACTCCTGCAGTACACCTATGAACATTTACAGTCTTTGTTCTAGTGCAGTTTGAGATCAAGACAGAACTTATTGCATCTCGTGATGTCTTTGTAAGAATTGAAGACATCACTAAATTTGTTAAGGTTTAATGCAGCTAGAAAGTAAAGATCAACTAGAGAATATCAGCAGTGTCTAACCCACTGTTGTATTTACAGAAGTTTTATGAGAATAAGCTACAGGTTGATTTATACTAATCTGTTATTTTTCTTTTTTAGCACGACTGACTGAAGTTTTAAAATCATGCAACGTCATAAAGCAGCAGCTGGGCCTGATTCTCACAAAACCAAAACAGACGTGATGAAATTCCAGATGTAAACACATTTGACCTTCCTTTGGCCAATTTGATTTGGAAAAGCTTGAAAATCAACTAAAGGAGCAGCCTGAACAAATGAAGAAACTGGTAAGTTCAAGCTCTTGCTAATTTCAAAGTGTTTTAAGTTTATTTGTTTTTTTTTATTGTTTTTTTTTTTGCTTCGTAGGTAGCCTACTTGTTTCCTAATTTTTTCTTTTTTTTTACATTAGTACTTGTTCACTACTAATTATCTGTTTATCTTTTAATCACAGATGGAGTGAGGACAAATGTCCATACCACGCCACTGATAAAGAAGTGGAAAAATGCATTACAAGGTAGCTACAACTTGCCCCTGACAGGGATGGAGGAAGAAAGAAGAGAAAGCTAATGTGTCAAATGTCTACATCACTATTTTGTTTTATTTTTTAAACAACATTTTAAGTGTATTAGGATGTTCCCTGATACTTGAACAATTTGTTTCTTTCATTTGCATTTATATATATATATATATATATATATATATATATATATATATATATATATATATATGTATATGTATGTATATATATATATATATATATATATATATATATATATATATATGTGTGTGTGTGTGTGTGTATATATGTATGGTATGTATGTATGTATGTATGTGTGTGCGCCAAATTCTGAAGAAACATCTTGATACATTTTTAATAAACGTAATACAAATACAATTGTAAATATAAAATTGCACAAGACGTGTTGAAAGAAAATTGCTGTTTGTGCAATTGATTTTGTTCAAGTTTATTTAAAAATAAGTTTGACTTTATACTTCTGCAATTATATATATATATATTTGTTTGTTTATTATTATTTTAATGTTTTATTAAAAAATGTTTCAAGATGTTTCTTCAGAATTCTGCAGTACTTTTTACAAGTTTGACTTGTATATTTTACAGATTGTCATTGGTATTTTTAAGATGTTTCTTGCTATATCTTAAATTGGTTTCTATATTTAGGTTTATATAAAATTTAGCTGTTTTTTACAAATTTTTAATTCAAGTCTATTGGGAAAACAGGGTTGTTTTAAAAACATCTGTGTTTGTGTGTAATTTTTAGATTGTTTGTTTAAATCTTTCTGTGTGTCCTTGTGTTTTATTGTTGTTTTTATATTGATATTCTTGTGCACTACAAAATTATTTATAAAATTTTAGTACTATTTTTTTCTTGCAATCAATAAACGTTTAACATTTATTTATTTTGTCATTTGTCTGATTATTTTCGTTACAGAATATGTATGCAGTTTGCACTTTATTCAAAGGTTAAACGCAGTGCTTACACTTTGTGTTTACATTATAGTCTGTGTTTGCTGTTATATAAATTCAAATGGTTGTAATACCATATATCAAGTACCAATGTAATACCAAAAGGTTTTATAAGGTGTATAAATACGGAGTCGCGCCAGCTCCGGGCCACAGCGCACATTACCCTCGCGCCGATTTCGGCGCGGATGCGCAGCGTCGGCTCGCTTACGGCCGCCGCATCTGGCCCGCTTGATTCGGGCCGGAATCGGGCAGTGAGTCCACAGGCATCCGGCCCGAGTCCGGCAGCCGAAGTTGGGCCGAGGGGTAAGTCTTCGGCAGGCGACAATCTAGCCGGAACTGGCCCGAGTGTATTTTGCTATCTGGGCAATATCTTCAGTTTTAAATGAGTTCACCCCACACAGATCTCTCTTTTACATTCATATTCTCTTACAGTAATACATGTGTGCACATACAGTAGATTAATCAGTACCAAAGACAAAACTGATGAACTAATCTTACAGAAAAAAACAAAAAACTGATTGGGGTCCAAACATTAGTTCACCCAAATTAACATGCTAAAATATAAAATAAAATATCAATAAACTGGAAAAATTAAGATAAACATGAATAATATAAAGTGTTGTTGATTTTGTGGTTTGTACTTTTCTGGGGCTAGAATAAAAAGATATGTAAATATATTTTAAGGGTCAATATTGTTAGCCCCCTTAGGAAAGATATTTTTAGATTTTCCATCGTTAAACAATAACTTTCCTAATTAACCTAATTAAGCCTTTAAATGTCACTTTAACCAGTTAAACTCTGCTGTTATTTTGACATTTCCGCCTGGATTTTGCCTACCCAAATTTAAAAGCTTCCCAAATCCACATGCAGAGGTGTAAATGCAAAAAATTGGTATCATTTTAAAGAAAACCCTTTGAATTTTCATAAAACACTATTGAAAGTGTGTAAAATATCTGTATATGTTGTCTGTGTTATAATAAACACCTAAAAAAAGAGGCGCTTTTTGTATTTTTTTTATAAACTCAAATTTGAAAGTGTACCTTTTAGGTTGTGTGTGGTCTAGCGTGCTGTAATTAATGTTGGTGGTTCCTGCACATGTCTGTAATCATAGGAAAAAAGAAAAATGTCTCCACCATAATCTTTGCAAAAGTTATTGTATTCCAACTGATGAGAGGTGCTGTACAAGCCACAGGGAGCGATCATTGCTTTCATATTCCACTATTCTTTTGTTATTAACATAATTCAGAATTATCAGCCCTCTTAAATTATTCGCCCCACTGAATATTTAATTTCCCAATTTCTGTTTAGCAGAGATTATTTTTTACAATCCTTTTGTAAACATAATAGTTTGTTCTGCAGACAATCGAATACAAATATTGCTTAGGGGGGCTAATATTATTAACCGTAAAATAGTTTTAAAAATTGTAAAACTGCTTTTATTCTAGCCGAAATAAAACAAATAAGACTTTCTTCAGAAGAAAAAATATTATAGGAATTACTGTGAAAAATTCCTGAATCTGTTCAACATCGTTTGGAAATTATTTGAGAAAGGAGGAGCTAATAATTGTGTCTTCAACTGTAAATGGCTCCTGCAGAGGCTCCTTCAGGGTTGATTTGCAGCAGTAAACACGGTAAAAGCCTCTTCTTTAACAGTGAAAGCAACACAATGTTTTTTAATTGTCTAAGTGCTTCTTGATTTCAGAATTTTCTGATATTTGGACTACAAACCAGACAAAAACTCTATGTAAGAACAGCATTTTTGCAGTGTTAACATCTAGATAAATGGCTCTTGTGCTCCAGACACACACACAGTGGCTCCTGATCTGCAGCAGTAAGTGCGGTAAAAGCCTCTTCTTTACCCATGTGTCGTGGATCTTGCTGTGGGCTGGCAGCGGGCCGTGGCGTCTGATCAGTGCGGTCCCACAGCAGCGGCAGCAGTAGTCCAACAACATGAATGGCCGGCGACTCCTTGATCAGTCACAGGTACAGCGCTGAATGTGTGCGTCTGTCATCATGGCTGCTCTTAATAAGATTAGCAGCGCATCCGTAAATCTGCGCCCGATAAAGCCCACCTCCTGGCCTGACCGGGATACACTCACTAATTACCCATCACACAAACTAAGAATACTGCCGGTTGAGTAAAGAAGCAACTCACCATACTGCACTGCAAGCAAAAGAGGATTTTTTAGAGTAGAGTTTTAGGCTTGTTTGTAGATCAACAATGTCTTAATCAAGAAGCATTTTAATATTTAAATTTTAATAATGAGTCAAAATTAAAGGAAGATTTTTTTCCATGAAACAAGCAAAATAATCTGCCAGTGGGATAAACAAAAGAATCTAATTTTACTTTTTTTTTTTTTTCAATTTTTATGAGTTTTATGAGTTTTTACTTGCATACAAAAATGCTTTTCTTCTAAAGTTTTTGTCTTGTTTTGAGTCCAAATGTCAACATATTCTTAATTTTCTGGACAAGCAAGTCTTGTTTTCAGAAATAATGAGTCAAAATGAAATCAGTTATTTCCATAAAACAAGCAAAATAATCTTTCAATTGGGTAAGAAAAATGATCTTATTTTCACTTTAAATTGACATTGTTTTGCTTATTTTTATCATTTATATATATTTTAATTATTATTTTATTAATTTAAATTGTTTTACTTCTATAAAAAAACTGCTTTTCTTAGTTTTTGTCTTGTTTCTAGACCAAATATCTAAAATTATTTAATCAAGAAGCATTTTCTGGACAAGCAAGTCTTGTTTTCAGAAATAGTGAGTCAAAATGAACTTATTTTCACATTATTTTGCTTATTTTTTTATTATTTATTTTATGTAATTTTTATTATGTATTATTATGTTTGCATTAATTTTTGAACTTGTATTTTTGCTTTTCTTATAGAGTTTTTGTCTTGTTTCTAGTCCAAACATCTATACAAATTCTTAAATCATTTTAAAAAGAAGCTTTTTATTTTTAATAATGAGTCAAAATTAAGTGAGGTTTTTTTTCATAAAACAAGCAAAATAATCTGCCAGTGCGGTAAACAAAAGAATAAAATTTTCACTGTGAAATAATTTTCACTTTAAATTTACATTGTTTTGCTTATTTTTATCATTTATATATATCCTTTAATTATTATTTTATTAATATAAATTGTTTTAATTCTATAAAAAAAATGCTTTTTTTCAGTTTTTGTCTTGTTTCTAGTCTCATTTTGTCTCATTTTCTGGACAAGCAAGTCTTGTTTTCAGAAATAGTGAGTCAAAATGAAGTCAGATTTTCCTTAAACCAAGCAAAACAATCAAGAAAACTATCTTATTTTCACTTTGAAATATCGTTACTTATTTTTATTTGTTATTTTATTTATTTATTATTATTATGCTTATTTGTACATTAATTAACAAGTAGATTCTTGTTAATTAGTTTTTGTCTTGTTTCCAGTCCAAATATCTACAAACTCTAAAATCAAGAAGAATTTTCTAGACAATAGAAAAATGTCTTGTTTTCAGAAATAATGAGTCAAAATTGAGTGAGCTTTTGATAAAAACAAGCAAAATAATCAAATTTTCACTTTGAAATAACATTATTTTGCTTATTTTTTTACTATTTATTATATATAATTTTGATTATGTATTATTATGTTTGCATTATTTTACAAGTGCATTTTTTAAACTGGTCTTTTAGCTTTTCTTATAGAGTTTTCATCTTGTTTCTAGTCAAAACCTCTATACAAATTCTTGAATCAAGAAGCATTTTCTGGACAAGCAAAAAATATGGTCTTGTTTTCAGAAATAATGAGTCCAATTAAGCGAGTTTTTCCATAAAACAAGCAAATTCTGCTAATGGGGTAAGAGAAATAATCAAATTTTTACTTTGTTTTGCTTATTTTTATTTTTTAATTTTAGTTTTATAATTGTTATTTAATTATAATTTTTATTATTTTGCTTATTTTCTAATTATTTTACAACTATTTTGTTTCTTGTCTAAAAAACGCCAAATATCCAAAAATTCTTAAAACAATAAGCATTTCCAAGGCAAACAAAAATATTTAGCTGTTTTCAGAAATATTGAGTCAAAATTAAGTGAGTTTTTCCTTAAAACAATAAAAATACACTCACTGGCCACTTTATTAGGTACACCTGTTCAACTGCCCGTAATGCAATTTTTTAATCAGCCAATCACATGGCAGCAACTCAATGCATTTAGGCATGTAGACATGGTCAAGACGATCTGCTGCAGTTCAAAGCAAGCGGCGAGCGGGCTGGTCTGAGTATTTCAGAAACTGCTGATCTACAGGGATTTGGCGCGGACCCTTGATAATGTCTCTGGGGCCCCCCTAATTGTATGGGCCCTTAGAATCGTCCTAACTACAAAATTCTATTTATTATACATGTAATGAAGCATAAATATTTTCCAGTGCAGCCCATAAACACAAGCAAGACTAATTAAATATAACTCTGATTGTGTTCATCCTAAAGAAGGCCTAAATGCCTTGAACTTATAAACTAAATCTATAGCAATGACAAACTACTTTAACTACTAAGATGCTTAATAATAATTTCAGGCCTAGACTGCTTGGTGGAACAGAGTAATAATGTGCTCTGCTTGTTTTAGTATTATTCGATCGCATTTAGTTTGTAATTTAATGATTGTCCAGATTTATGTGTAGCCTAAGTGTTAGTGCATTAAAAGTGTCACATAAATCTGTCAGATTCTGTCAATGTACAAATAAAAGTGTGAGGATTCACATGTACCCTACATTCAGTGACATTTACAGGCTGATAAAGTGCATTCAAACCGTTTAAAGTAATGTCCACTCAATTTAAAAGCTAGCTATTCTTCATTATACTATATTTCATTTGAATAAATTGTCAGAAAGTTTGCCATTATAAATATAAAGACGAATGTTGACATTTTAGTGAGATAGATAGTTTCAAGTGGACTAGCTATTAGCTTTTAATATTTTGTTGTGCTTTTTATGAAGGATTTAGTTTGGTTTACCTCAGTTTAGTTTGACTTTCAGTCTTCTAGGTGATAGTTTCTAGAGATGTTTCGCTGTTTAGCATTACATGTAGTTTGTAGTTTAATGATTGTCCAGATATAAGTGTAGCCTAAGTGTTATTACATTAAAAGTGTCACAATATATATTTGTCAGATCCTGTATGACAATAAAAAGTGTAAGGATTCACATGTCATGTACCCTACATTTAGTGACAATTATAGGCTAATAAAGTGCATTCAAACCATTTAAACTCATGTTTATTCATTTTAATAGCTAGCTATACTTCATTATACTATATTTCATTTGAATGATGCGTTAAAATAGTTGCTGTTATAAAGATAAGACGAATGTTTAGTGAGAATGTTGTGCTTGATATGAAGGATTTGGTTAGGTTTAAGTGAGGTTAGTTTGACTTTTAGTCTTCTAGGTGATAGTTTAGAGATGTTTCGTTGTTTAGTATGCAGTTCTGTAGTTTTACAGCTCGATAGTAGCTATAGCAAGTAAAGTCGTGTAGTGTGTTTTGTTGCTATGCGGGCTGCCTTTGCTTGTTTGCATCATATTTGTCGATCACATTTAGTTTGTAATTTAATGACTGTCCAGAGATAATTGTGGCCTAAGTGTTATTACATTAAGGCCCAGTTTCACAAACAAGGCTTAGATTAGGCCAGAACTAAGGCTTAGTTAAATTGGGCTACTTAAGCCACATTTATAAAAATGGCCTTAGAAAAATATATTACTGGTGTGCACCTGGAGACAAAAAAAGACACTGACGTATTTTAAGACATCTCACTGCAAGTTATTTTGAGTTGAGACAGCTGAAACATGCAATTTAATCTTGACTAGCCTTAAACCTTGTTTGTGAAACCGGGGATATAAGTGTCAAATATATCTGTCAGATCCTGTATGTAAATACAAAGTGTGAGGATTCACGTGTACTCTAAATTTATAGGCTAATAAAGTGCATTCAGACCATTTAAATTCATGTTTACTCATTTTATTAGCTAGCTATACTTCATTATACTATATTTCATTTGATGAATTTGTTAGAATATTTGCTGCTATTAAGATAAAGACGAATGTAAACAGTTTAGCGAGATCAATAGTTTTAAGAGGATTAGCTATTAGCTTTTAGTATTGTTTTGGTATGCGTTGATATGAAGGATTTAGTCAGGTTTAAGGCAGTTTGACTTTTAGTTTTTAGGTGATAGTTAAGAGTTGTTTCATTGTTTAGTATGTATTTCTGTAGTTTTACAGCTCGGTAGTATAGCAAGTACAGTCGTTTACAGTGTGTTTTGTTGCTATGCGGGCTGCCTTTGCTAGTTTGCATCATATTTGTCGATCACATTTATTTTGTAATTGTAAAATTGTAAGTGTAGCCTAAGTGTTATTACATTAAATTGTCAAAATATATCTGTCAGATCCTGTATGTCAATAAAACGTGTGAATATTCTCATGTACCCTACAGTGATATTTATAGGCTAATAAAGTGCATTCAAACCATTTAAATTAATGTTTACTCACTTTAGCTATACTTTATTATATTTCGTTTTGAATAATTGTCAGAAAGTTTGCCTTTATAAAGATAAAGACGAATGTAAACAATTTAGTGAGATCTATAGTTTCAAGTGGACTAGCTATTACATTTCAATATCGTGTTGGTATGCATTGATGTGAAGTATTAAGTTAGGTTTAAGACAGTTTAGTTTGACTTTTAGCCACGTCAGTATGCATTTCTGTTGTTTTACAGCTTGGTAGTATAGCAAGGACAGTCGTGTACAGTGTATTTAGTTGCTATGCGGTCAGCCTTTGCTTGTTTGCATCATTTTTGTCGATCATATTTAGTTTGTAATTTAATTGTCCAGATATAGTTGTACTTACATTAAAAGTTTGAAATATATCTGTCAGATCCTGTATGCCAATAAAAAGTGTGAGGATTCACGTGTACTCTAAATTCATAGGCTAATAAAGTGCATTCAGACCATTTAAATTCATCTTTACTCATTTTATTAGCTAGCTATACTTCATTACACTATATTTCATTTGAATAATTTGTTAGAATATTTGCTGCTATAAAGATAAAGACGAATGTGAACAGTTTAGTGAGATCTACTTTCAAGTGGATTAGCTATTAGCTTTTAATATCGTGTTGGTATGCGTTGATATGAAGAATTTGGTCAGGTTTAAAGCAGTTCACTTTGACTTTCAGTCTTCTAGGTGATAGTTAAGAGTCGTTTTGCTGTTTAGCATGTAGTTTTACAGCTTGGTAGTATAGCAAGGACAGTCGTGTACAGTGTGTTTTGTTGCTATGCGGGCTGCCTTTGCTAGTTTGCCTCATATTTGTCTATCGTCGCGTATTAAAAACACACTTATTGCTCGAGAGTTTGACAGTTTGTATTTACTGAGAGGTTTCTGTACATTTTGGGAGGTTCGGCTGCGGGCAGGAATTTATTTTTAGCATCAAAACAGTAATGGCGATGTTTTCCGCCGTCAGAGCGCGTCATTGCACATTTTAAGAGTCAGGGACAGGTTAAAAAGGAGCTTGATGTGTCGGTAATCAATCGCCACATCGCCGAGATCCACACGAATTGTTTCGGCGCAAAACTTTCGATATTGTCATGACGGGCGAGTGTGAAGCGCGACGGCTGTGCGCATGCGCACTGGAGTCCGCCTGGCCAATTTCTCAGTACTCGTGGGAGAATTTGGGTAAGAAACAGACAAAATAAAACAATCGCACGCTTGAATAAACTGATCGCATAGCATTTTATACTCTTAAATAAAGCTTTACGCGCCGCGTTCGACTTTCGCGGAGGTGTTTGTTGCGACGGAATAATAATGAAAGTTAGATATAAAGTAGAAAACGCCTGGACGTGTCATCAATAATATGAGCAGCAGGAAGAGACACACACACACACACTGAGAGAGAGAGAGTATGAAATGAAAAACAACGCGAATGAATGAAGCTCAAAACAGACGCAGTCGATAGAAAGGATCAAAATGTTGATGTGCGGCTGACGGCACGAATAAAGCTGCTGTTATTTAGCGAGTGTGTGTAGAATAATGCAGCAGCAGAGCATTGGCTCCTGTGTGCTGGAAACAGCAGGAACTGATCGTGCGAAACAAAACCCGTGTCGATCAGCTCCGAGATCAGCTCAATCACTCACTTTAAATGTCATTGATCAGCAAAAATGCCGCGATCCGCCGGGCCTGCGTGTCTTTCAATATTATATAGTCAATATAATTCCTGCTCCGCCATTTTGAGAAACTGCCTTTAAAACACATTAAAGAAAAGTGTTTTAGTATCTGACACGGTTTCGTCGCTGATGTGGGCATGTCAGCTCGTGGTCGTCGATTTATTAATTTTTTTGGGGGGAAAATAATACTCCACAGTGGCCGTACGTCGAGCTGAATCATCCCACCGCATTAACTGTAAACTATTTCAATACAATAGAGCTGCGTGTCAGATATCCGTCAGAGAAGCATGTTTCAGGGGGAAACATCATGCTGCTGTATGCATTGCTGGAAGAATATTAGCATGTATTTTATTTGATCATAACCATGATGGTGTGTACATTTAAAATATTAGTTTAATAAAAGCTTTGTTGCCAGCATATTGTGCATCACACATAAAAGCAAAGCATTAGCTCGTTGATTTATGTTTTCTTTGAGAAAATGAACTTAGTTTAATTATATAGCGTAGGAAATACATGTAAATACCAACTAAAGCAGCTAAAGCCTGTATTTTATCAGACTGGTTGTAGAATTATTTGTAAACTGGTTTGAAACTCAGGTGAATTGTCTGAATGCTGTATTGTGTGAGAATATTGTGAACATTTCTGGATTTCATTGTTGAACATTTCTGGATTTCATTGTTGAACTGGAGCTTGAAAGTTTGCAGCGGCGCGGATGAGCAGAGGGCGACAGCGGCCTCTGCCGGCGGATACACACAGCGCACACACTAAGCACACCACACATTAAACACACCACTCAGCTACACACACAAAGACAGACAGACATGCACAAACCATTCAACCACATACACATAAAATCAGAGACACAGACACTGACAGACACACTAAGACGCATGTCAATACCCGGTCTATTTTGCATGCTCTTGGCCTCTCTCAAGAACATACAGTCTCTCTCACATGCACATTCGTTCTCGCTTGATCTGTTTGTTGATTCGAAACTTTACAAACACATTCTGGAGACACAGAAGACTTATAATAAATCTTGAAAAAGGGTAAAATAGGTGCCCTTTAAAGTTTAAAATCAGAAACGATACCTGCCAATGGGGTCAGGGTGCGCGTGTGTGTAGTTGCTGATGGTTCTGCTGGTGTGTGTGTGCGCATGTGTGTAGTTGCTGATGATTCTGCTGGTGTGTTTGTATGCGTGTGTGTAGTTGCGGATGGTTCTGCTGGCTAGTGTGTGTGTGTGTGTGTGTGTGTGTGTGTGTGTGTGTGTGTGTGTGTGTCAGTTCCGGGTGAACGAGTTTGGGGTACTGGAGGTCATAACAGAAGAGATGGAGGAGGAGAGGGGCAAAAAAGCTCACGCCACCACCACGTGGAGCGTCCCAACCGCACAAGAAGGTGAACACACTAACACATACACACTGCAAAACACACTTACTTATGTACAGTTTTTGTCTTGTTTTTAGTCCAAATGTCTAAAAAAATGTAAATAAAGAAGCATTTTCCAGACAAGCAAAAGATATTGTGTTGTTTCGGAAATATTAAGTCCAAATGAAGTCAGATTTTCCTTAATAAATATAAACTAGATGAGTAAGTTCTGGTTAACTCACAGTGCATTAACTCATAACTCAACAAGCACAACTTCATATGACAATAACACATTAGGGAATGGTGAATTATGCTGAATAAATGCTGTAAAAGTATTGTTCCTCCTTTTATTAATGAATTTATGTTGATAAATATATAAAGGGGGGCGGTGCAGTGGATAGCATTGTCGCCTTACAGTAAGAAAGTTGCTGGTTCGAGTCCTGGCTGGGCCTGTTGGTGTTTCTGTGTAGAGTTTGCATGTTCTCAGAGTGCTCCGGTTTCCCCCACAGTCCAAAGACATGCGCTATAGGTGAATTAGATAGGCTAAATTGTCCGTAGTGTATGAGTGTGTGTGGGTTTCCCAGTGATGGGTTTCAGCTGGAAGGGCATCCGCTGTGTAAAACATATGCTGGATAAGTTGGCGATTCATTCCGCTGTGGCGACCCCGGATTAATAAAGGGACTAAGCTGAAAAGAATATGAATGCATGAATGAATATATTAAAGGGTTAGTTTATTAAAAATGTTATTAATCACTTGTCTTGCCGACCTGAAAAACACCATAGTAATTGCTAGTAAATACTAGTGTTTTAAACCATACTATATTAAAGTGTATTATACTGTATATATAGTATTTGCAACTCTTTGTTAATGAATGCTCCAGCATACTGTAGTTTTAACGAGAGTGAACAGACAAACTGTCATAAATGCTGTAAAATTGTTTAGTTTTAACCACAGTAAATTGTGGTGTATTGTAGTTTAGTATACCATATAGTTGTAGAAAACCACAGTATTGGGTCATTTGTTTATATAATTGTGTTACCATAGCTACTATATAATCAGCATAATGGATTGATTAATGTAGTTATTGTGTTACTATAGCAACTATAGTCACCCCAACAGATTATTTAGTGTAGTTGTTGTTACCATAGCAACCATAGAATTACCGTAACAGATTAAATACTATATATGTTATGTTACCATAGTAACTATAGAATCACCACAATAGATTATTTAGTGTAGTTGTTGTTACCATAGCAACCATTGAATCCCCATAAGAGATTAATTAGTATAGTTGTTGTGTTACCATGGCAAATATAGAATGACCATACCAGATAAATTATTATAGTTGTTGTGTTACCATAGCAAATATTAAATTACCAAAACATATTCATGAGTATAGTTGTTGTTACCATAGCAACTAATGAATCATCATAACAGATTTATTAGTATAGTTGTTCTGTTACCATAGCAACTATATAATCACCATACCAAATAAATTAGTATAGTCGTCGCACTACCATAGCAACTATTGAAACACCATAACAGAATAATGAGTATAGTTGTTGTTACCATAGCAACTATAGACTCACTATAACATATTAATTAGTATAGTTATTGTGTTGCATAGCAACTATAGAAGCAATATAAAAGATGAATTAGTATAGGTGTTGTTACAAAAGCAACTGTAGAATCACCACAACAGATTAATTATAAATGTTGTTACCATAGCAACTATAGAATCACCATACTAGATTAATTGTAAATGTTGTTACCATAGCAACTTTATAATCACCATACCAGGTTAATTTTAAATGTTGTTACCATAGCAACTGTAGAATCACCATACCAGGTTAATTATAAATGTTATTACCATAGCAACTATAGAATCACCATACCAGATTAATTGTAAATGTTGTTACCAAAGCAACTATAGAATCACCATACCAGATTAATTAGTATAGTAGGTGTTACCATAGCAACTGTAGAATCGGCACAACATGTAAATTAGCAGAGTTGTTACCTTAGCAACCCTAGAATCACCATACCAGATAAATTAGTATAGTTGTTGTTACCGTAGAAACTATTAAATTACCAAAATAGAATAATTAGTGTAGTTATTGTGTTACTATAGCAACTATAGACTCACTGTAAACGATTAATTAGGATAGTTGTTGTTACCCTAGCAACAATATAATCACCATAATAGATTAATTAATATAGTTGTGTTTCTATAGCAACTATTGTAACACCACAACAGAATAATGAGTATAGTTGTTACCATAGCAATTGTAGAATCACCATAACAGATTAGTTATATATGTTGTTACCATAGTTACCATAGCAACTACCTACTGCGCCACCGCGTTGCCCTGCATGCAGTCATTTTGACCAATATGGTAATTAAAGGTAGAAATGCTCAGTTCTTTACTGTTTTGTAATTTTAAAAATAACAATGTTAGAAAGAAATACATAGATATTTAGAAAACGTCAGGGTGGATAGATATGTTTATTTCAAAGAGTTATTAAGTTACAAAAAATAGTGCCAATAGTGTTCAGCTTTTTCTGACGGCTCCTCCCTCAAAATTTCATTGGCTGTGGTTTGGTAGCTTGACTGAGCTGTTGGGGAACGAGTTGTTGTCAGATCATGTAGTGTGTGATCATTTACGTCGTGTCGCATAGTGTGAACACCAGCGACACAAAATCAAGTCATGTAGTGTGACCGGCACATCGATCTGCCGATGTTTAAATGCATGTGGTGTGAACTAGGCTTAACTGTCTGTTTTCTCTCAGCTCTCTCTGAAGGGTCAGTCTTAAAGCAGGATTCTCCTTGGGGTCAGCGCGGCCTGGTGTGTGTGCGCTGTAACAGGAAGGGCTCTGCGGTGGACTTCCTGCCTGATGGCCTTCACTGCAGCGAGCGCTGTCTGCAGCAGGAGCAAGAGTGAGTCCTACACTCAACATCTGCTCTCCTCTTGTTTATTTAAGGATGAATCACAACAGTACATTAACCTGTTTCAATCATAGGCAAGATGTATGCTGTCAGAGTATAGCAGAATGCTAATATACACCTGCAGTCACCGAGAGTTCAGTCATTCATTCATTGTTTTTTTCGGCTTAGTCCCTTTATAAATCCAGGGTCGCCACAGTGGAATGAACCGCCAACTTATCCAGCATGTTTTACACAGCGGATGCGCTTCCAGCTGCAACTCATCTCTGGGAAACACCCATACACTCTCATTCACACTCATACACTACGGACAAATTAGCCTACCCAATTCACCTGTACCGCATGTGCTTAGACTGTGGAGGAAACCGGAGCACCCGGAGGAAACCCACATGAATGCAGGGAGAACATGCAAACTCCACACAGAAACCCCAACTGATCCAGCAGAGGCTCGAACCAGCAACCTTGCTGTGAGGCGACAGCACTAACTACTGCGCCTCTGCGTCGCCATAGTAATAATAATAATTCCTTAAATTTATATATATTTTGGAAACTTAAAGCGCATTACAAATTTTTGGGGGGAGTCTCCTCATCTACACCTCCTCATTCCCATGGGGAGTCAACGTGTCTTAAGTTGGGGCTGAAGCGATCATCATAGCAGCGTCAGCCAATGAAATTCAGTCAGCAATAGGTAACTGTCTAGCTGGTGTATTTGCATACAGCGATCTGATTGGCTGACGCTTCCGTCGGCGCTTGAAAAGTTGAGCAAGTCCCAACTTCTGCAGCGAGCAACACCTCTGAAGCAGCGCAGACGGATCCACAATGCAGTTCGGCAATGCCTGACAGGGCTCGAAATTAACTTTTTTACTTGGTAGCAGCGGTGCTCCCAACTTCAAATATTTAGGAGCACCAGAAAAAATTTAGGAGCACCCACCAAAAATGAATGAGCACAGTTGCAAATTGTTTTTTAAGGGATTTATTGTATTGTAAAACAACATAGGACTGACAAAAACCAGAAACAACTATCTAACTAATGCTGCGAAGACATTGATATTTGTGTGCAATAATTCCAAAATGAATGTCTAATAATTAGGCCATAGAATATTAATGATGATAAAAAATGACAATAATAGTAACAATGAATTCCATTTCTCATTATGATACTGCCTTGAATGTGCATGAATGTAGGTTATCTGCTATAAAAAGTCTGTTACTTTATGAAAAATAATTGTATAGTTTGCATCAAACAAAAATGAAGCATTGCAGTAAGAAATATTGATTTTGTGCTGCTGTTTTTATATGCATGTCAATTTAATAAATAATATTTCTGCTACAAAACAAACAAAAGATTATAATAAATCATTCAACTCAATGATGAAAGCTGCAAAGCAGTCATCAGTAAATAAATATAAAAATAATATACACCTCAAACAAGAATAGACAAAAGAAAGTAAGTAAAGTCTCACTTCTATCACTCTTTAAAAGTTTTGGTTTCAGTTTGTGTCAATTTAAAGGTTCAGTCTGAGCTGATCTTCATGTTTCTGTGTTAGTGGAAAAGCAGGCGAGTCAGCCCACCCAATTTATGAGCAGGCTGAACAGGATTCTTGCGCTAACCATCGGCATAATACCGCTGTTTGTTATGAGCCGCAGTTTCAGTGTAAACTTAGTAAAGGAGAGCTTCTTTGGCGATGATATGTACAGCATTAGATTTGACTTTTAGCGGACATTTGCGCTGAACACGCAGTGAATGCAACGCATGGAGATTCGGGCGCCTTCTCCAAGAATCGCGTACTCGATTGATCTCAGCTGGCGGATCATTATTCACCACGTGACGTGTCATGATCGCTTTCATCTGCGCCTCAACTTTAGGTGGGGTTTGCAAACCTGTGTGCTTTAAGTTTTTACTCTTCAGCCGTTTGTATTTCCCGTGGTCTTAAAAGCTCCTTCCCTGTCATCTGACAGCGGAATACTTTGAGTGAATGACAGCTAATATGAACCAATATAGCGGCAGGGAAGAGCGATTCAGCACGTTTTTACAAAAAATCAAAACAGGTCGCACTACAACCATTATCTGCAGTCGCACTAATGCTCCCAGATATATTATGAGGTCGCATAGATTATTTTCGGGCGCATATGCGACCAAAATGGTCGCAATTTCGAGCCCTGCCTGACATCAGCCATTCAAAGTGAATGGGAAGCGTTGATGCTGATGCCCCGTGTGAATGGGGCGTGAATGTGCAGCATCCACATGACGGCAACCATATCACACCACACACCAGCTGATTGGTGGAGAGGAGACAGAGTGATGAAGCCATTCATGATATGGGGAGGGTTAGGAGGCCATGATGGACAGAGTCCAAACTTGGCCAGGATGCCGAGATTAAACCCCTACTCTTTTTCAAAGGACATCCTGGGATCTTTAGGGACCACAGAGAAAAAGATTCGGGAGAAATATAGAGTCCCCAACTATAAACTGGGACGTTAGGACCCACACAGGCCGCAATAAGCAGGATAAAATACATCCAGGGCGGTTGTTTTTTCAGTTCTTTCAGTCTTATACAGCAGTGCTGTGCTTCACATCGGGCTGCAGATAAACCTGGTGAGTTTATTCTGAGATAACAACCTCCTGGATCTACTTTATCCCTAACATATTGAATTATATAGGGAGGCAGTGGCGCTGTAGATAGTGCTGTCGCCTCACAGCAAGAAGGTCGCTGATTCGAACCTCGGCTCAGTTGGCGTTTCTGTGTGGAGTTTGCATGTTCTCCCTGCCTTTGCGTGGGTTTCCTCCGGGTGCTCCGGTTTCCCCCACAGTCCAAACACATGCGGTACAGGTGAATTGGGTAGGCTAAATTGTCCGTAGTGTATGAGTGCGTGTGTAAATGAGTGTATGGATGTTTCCCAGATATGGGTTGCGGCTGGAAGGGCATCCGCTGCGTAAAAACTTGCTGGATAAGTTGGCGGTTCATTCCGCTGTGGCGACCCCGTATTAATAAAGGGACTAAGCCGACAAGAAATTGAATGAATATTGAATTATTGAATATGGGCTTATGTCTAAAAAGAGCATAACTGGTCCCCTTTAAGCATGTATACCATGTTAAATCCTGTTTGAAACAGCACCATTATATGAGCCTGCAGTTGTATCTGTGAAGGCATTGAGATGTTGTGTTGTTGCGACAGAGAGCTGAAGACAGAAGGCTCCAGAATGAACGGAGAGCTTCTGTCGAGGAAGAGGACGCGTCTGGAGAGATCAGCTGAAGACATGGACAGCTCCATGGACATCCCGGAGGAGGAGGACGAGGACTACGTTAGTTCATTCACTCTCGTCTGCACTGCACAAGCTTTCATCTTGTTGTTTTAGTCCAAATATCTCAATTTACATACTTTTTATGATTTAAATACACATTTTTTCTCTTCGTTTTGCCTTTCCGTCCACACTAAGACGGTGTTTTTTTAATCTTTTTGACGTCTGTTTTTGAAATTGCTGCCCAAAGTGGATCAATTCGAAATGTTGTTTTGGTGTCGCAGTGTGGACTGTGAAGGAAGGCCTTTATAATCAATGACGTATTTCAGTCATGTGACCAATCCAGCCAGTGTTGCCAGACGTACGTTAAGTATCGTATTTGTACGATAATTTCGACCTCTGTACGATGTACCATCAATAATGAGAAAAATCCTATAATGTACGATAATTTCAGATATTTATGGCATTTAAAAGTAACTTCATTGTAATCTTCGGGCTTCTTCACTTATTGATCTAGCTGCATCTTTTCTGTGCTGTCTGTGAGGAGTAGGTGGAGTTAGGCACGTTTTCTATCTCATCTTACGTTGCCTCTTCTCAGCCAATCAACGTAGAGAATGGCTCTCTCTCGAGAGTTAACGCTCCTGCTGCGCGTGCCCGTGGTTAGGTCAGTAGTTTTCAGTTTGAGGTCGGTCTTTTAAAGGGCACCTATGGTAAAAAATCTACTTTTCAAGCTGTTTGGACAGATCTGTGTGTTGGTATAGTGTATAGACCGTCATACTGGGGTGATTTGAACACACCCAGTCCTTTTTTTTCAATTTAACTACAAAAAAAAGGGTCGGCCAATTGGAGCTGTTTTCAAATCGATCGCACCATTACGTAGGTGTGCGATCCCCCCGCCCACCGAATTGATTGACAGCTGCCCGCATTAACATGTTCCGGTAGTCGCGTGTATATGTCAACAAGACCAGACATACGCAAAGCAACCGGGAATAAAAGCTCTGTTCTGTTCGCTAGGATCAGCAATCATCATCAAATGTGATTAAGAGTGAGTTTCACATGTTTAAAGTGTTTTAAAACAGAGTATGTGTGTAATTAATTACAGCGTTTTACTTCATCAGCACAGCCGCGTGTCAGAACAATTATAAAAGAAGACGCTTCAATCCCGGTTTGTGGAAGTTAAATCAGGTTTATTTTGTACATTAGCATAACAGATATCCACACAGCACTTGAGGTTAGCCTTAACTAAGCTAAGCACGCTCTGTCTGTCTGCCTGCCTGCCTGCATGTGTGTGCGTGTGTATGTGTGTGTGTGTGTGTGTGTGTGCGCGCGTTAACTTTGTAGCGATATTGTGTGTGACTCATCAATGCAACTTCACAATACTGATTAGTAAAGGTTAGTTCTTACTGTAGTATTTCACAAACGCTACATGAGACCTTCTTCCTTTAAGTCTGTCTGTTGTCTGACGCAGCTGAGGGAGGAGGCATGTAGAAACAGTAGGCGGGCAGAACTCGGCTTAAAGGCGCAGTACGACAAAACCACCCCCTGCTGGAAATCAGTATAAAACAGCATCTTGTAAAAGGTATAATGAAAAATCTGATGGGTATTTTGATCTGAAACGTTATATACACATTCTAGAGACGCAAAAGACGTATATTAAATCTGAAAAAAGGGGTAACCTAGGTGCCCTTTAAAGGATGAGTCACACACAATATCGTTACAAAGTAGCGCGCGCGCTTAGCTTAGTTAAGGCTAACCTCAAGTACTGTGTGGATATCTGTTATGCTAATGTAAAAAATAAACCTGATTTAACTTCCGGGATTGAAGCGTCTTCTTTTATAATTGTTCTGACACGCGGCTGTGCTGATGAAGTAAAGCTGAAGTAAAACGCTTTTGATTTGATGATGATTGCTGATCCTAGCGAACAGAACAGAGCTTTTATTCCCGGTTGCTTTGCGTATGTCTGGTCTTGTTGACATATACACGCGACTACCGGAACATGTTAATGCGCGCAGCTGTCAATCAATTCGGTGGGCGGGGGGATCGCACACCTACGTAATGGTGCGATCGATTTGAAAACAGCTCCAATTGGCCGACCCTTTTTTTGTAGTTAAATTGAAAAAAAAGGACTGGGTGTGTTCATATCACCCCAGTATGACGGTCTATACACTATACCAACACACAGATCTGTCCAAACAGCTTGAAAAGTAGATTTTTTACCATAGGTGCCCTTTAAGCAATAATGTTAAAACAATTTGTGCTGTAAAGGAAGGTGAGCGGGACAAGAGTTTTCCCTTGATGTTCTCGTTTTTTCCCCATTCAAATGCGTCTTGTGAACATGTTGTTTTTTTACAAAGTTAGTCTCATTAAAACAAAACCTCAGAAAATAAATCCCTCAACATCTGGCAACATGCCACATTCAATTACAGCAACTCAGAGGTGGAGTTTGAACCTTCCCATTAAGTACCTAGTTTTTTTTTAACGTATTGTGGTAATTTGCACGTTGTGTCAAAACGCTATGTGTCTAGATAATAGCTGTATACTCTCAGTTTGACTCGTGTACGATAATTTTCCTCCAAATACGATAATTTTGAGGGTCTGATACGATACTTTGACATTTCCAATCTGGCAACCCTGAATCCAGCTAACTTGGTGGACGTCATTGTAAAGCAGATGTTTTCAATGCTGTCCTTTTTCACAGCTTTATTACAGATTAGACAAGTAAAAAGATTTGTTTTGTTTTCAGAAATAATGAGCTAATTATACGATATATAATGAGCTTATCCTTCAACTAATCTGAAATAAGATCACAAGTGATTGTACACTTTTATGTCGAAAGAAAAAACACAGAAAATACTGTAGAGTCAAGTGTGTGTTTCTGATCTGCTGGCTTTCAGGTTTCACATCAGATATGTGTGTGTGTGTGTGTGTGTGTGTGTGTGTGTGTGTGTGTGTGTGTGTGTGTGTGTGTGTGTGTGTGTGTGTGTAACAGGAAGAGAAAGAAAGCAGGCGACCAGCCAGAGGAGCGACACGAGGACGCAAGAAACGCAGAGGAGACGCAGCACTGCTCCGATACAGTGAAACACACGCACACACATGCATAGACACATGCACACACATACATGCGTACACAAACAGACACACAGAATCACACACACACACACACACGTAATTGCACACAAACCGACACACACACAGAAACTCAGTCACACACATAAGTAAATAGACACAAACATACACACAGAAACACTCACACATGCCTACATTGACACACATACACACACACAAACATCCCCCACACAAATGCTTACTTATGTACACAGACACAAATACACAAACAGAAGCACACACATACTTAAACATGCATACGGACACACAGACTATCACACACCTATGTGCACACACACACACACGCACATGCACATGTAAATGCACACAAACCCATACACACAGATGCATACGTACACATTCACAGAGAAAAGACGCGCACACACATACAAACACACACACACACACACACACACACACACACACACACACACACAGAAACTCAGTCACACACATATGTAAATAGACACAAACATAAACACAGAAACACTCACACATGCATGCATAGACACACATACACACACATACACCTAAACATGCATTCAGACACACAGACAATCACACACATATGTGCATACGCACACACACACACACACACACAAACAGATGCTTCTAGGTGAGTCTGACTCTGATATTTCCCATGATGCAGCGGTGCCGTATGGAGGCAAGAAGAAGGCCTGGTGCTGGGCCTCGTACCTGGAGCAGGAGAGAGCCATCGCTGCACCCAGCAAACTCTTCAAAGAGGTCAGCACACACACACACACACACGCGCGCACTAGAGCTGCACGATTAATCAGAAAAAACTGCGATCTCGATTCCACCCATATAAACGATCTTAATCCAGCATTTCTACAATTCTGCCAATCATATGTTTAAGTTCAGGAGAGAAGAAAAGGCGGCCGCACAAGTCTTCACAATGTTTTATATACTTTGTTTAGCAATATGGACTCCTCCAAATGTTAATAAAAGAGTCACATACTGTTTATCAGGTATAAATCACTCGAAAATGCCATTTCTTTCTTCGTGGAATGACGTATTCACGGCCGTGAAATCACACTAGATGTGAGCTGACTGTGAGCTGGTACCATAGAGAGAGCGGGCGCATGTGAATGAAGTCTACTTTAGTGAACAGAACTAGAGATGCGCGGATGGCGGTTATTCCGCGGATAAACCGCGGATCGGGCGGATGACGTGACGAAAAATAATATTTTAATTAAATTCGGGCGGGTGGCGGGCGGTTGTACTGTTTTTGTACACATAGCTGGCGCACCAACGAAAAAGCCTAGGACTGACTTCACAGAATGAGAGGAGGAATCGGATACACTAATTCTGGATGAAGTACAGAAGTCTTCCTCTACAAAATTAAGAATAGACGGATCAGCAGAGGAAAATCTACTTTCTTTTTGGGAGAAACAAGGCAGTCATTCCCACGTCTACAGCACCTTGCCAAGAGAATTCTATGCATTCCAGCAACAAGTGCCGCGAGCGAGCGCTCCTTCAGTGCAGCAGGGCGCATTAGAGGCCAGGCGTTCTCGTCTGAATGTTGAAATGATGTGTCAAAATGCGTTTTCTATTAGGTTACTATAATAAAAAAAAATTGTACAGTACAGTGCGTTTCATTTATTTATTTTTGTCCCTGTGCACCGATTGGAGACGGAGTTCACTGCTGATATTCTGAGAGCTTTATAGGGTGCTTCTCATTTCTTATTTGTGTATCCTCGTTTCCTTTCCTTGCTTTCTTTCCTCGTCTTTCCACCCCTATAGGATGCGAGGGAAGGACGCAAAAAAAAACCTCAAGGACCAAGGAATCGAATCAAGTGAAACGACACGTCCTCGTATTGTTTAGCGTCACTTCAAAGCGTCAATTAATGCTGGATTTGACTTGCACGTTTGGATTAACTGCATGTCATTAAAGTCATTCTCTATTTTCTAATAATCAATAAAGAAACATTCATTTAATAATAAAAAGGAATAAGCCATTCAAATAAAGAGCTCAGTCAGCAGATGGCGGGCGGGTGCGGTTTTAAAAATAGGTAAAAAATGTTAGTGCGGATGGATGGCGGACGGATAATGAGTTTTATGATGCGGTTGCGGATGAAATAGTAGCCCATCCGCGCATCTCTAAACAGAACCTTCATAGGCTGTGAATATCAGGTAATACAGTCGCGAATAACATTCAGTTTGTTGCACAGAGCGATCGTTTGGGAGCCGCGCGTGAAGTATGAACCACATCATTTAAAAATTTCATATCGCATTATAGAGTTATGATTACGACAAGCATTTAATATTAAAGCTTTTTCTGTCATAGCGAACACAGAGTGTTGTACATGAGAATAAATGTTTTACAGTGTCAGTGTAACTACTCTAGCCTATATATTGTTCAATTTAATGAAAGAGGGAATCTGATAATGACAAATGTCATCTTAGCAGTAGAAAAATTGAATTGTCGGCAATTCAAATCATGCTGTGTGAATTTGGCGAGTCTTCATTTCTTGTCGGCTTAGTCCCTTTATTAATCCGGGGTCGCCACAGTGGAATGAACCACCAACTTATCCAGCAAGTTTTTATGCAGTGGATGCCCTTCCAGCCGCAACCCATCTCTGGGAAACATCCATTCACACACACACTCATACACTACAGACAATTTAGCCCACTCAATTCACCTGTACCACATGTCTTTGGACTGTGGGGGAAACCGGAGCACCCGGAGGAAACCCACACGAACGCAGGGAGAACGTGCAAACTCCACACAGAAACGGCAACTGAGCCGAGGCTCGAACCACCAACCGAATTTGTCGATTCATCCTATTTTAAAGTCATACAGTGTGAAACCCCCTGTTGCCGGTTCATCTTACAGTGTAAACAAAGCAGTAACCAAACGGTAACCCAGATAGTCATGCAGTGTGAAAACATCTGTGACACGACTCATGCAGTCTGAACTCAGCATTAGTGTTCGCCTACTAAACACTTCTACGTCTACACAAAGTGACAAGTTTTTAAAAGGATTCTCTGGCGCACAATATGAGTTAGTCTCGTAAACACCACTTTGTCTACATAAAGTGAAAAATCTTGTTAAATTTTAAGAAACTCTTTACACATTTCCCAGTTTGTCGCAGCAGTTTTTCTTAGAGCGCAGTGAAAAGGAGCCTACAACAAATGCATTTTACTAGGGATGCAACAATACAGTTAGCCCACCGCTCAATACATACCTCAGTGTTTTACCACGGTTTTCAGTTCGGTTCTCATGGCTTGACGTGTGTTTTATGTTATTCTATAGGCAATAGGAACAGTCAGAGGTTAAGGAGAAAACAATAAAAATGATTTATTGCAATGCTTATTTTGTTTTACTTAAAAGCCAAGAAAAGTACAGCAGTTCCTAGAGTATTGAATAAAAAAATGAACACTGAAATCTCACAGCTGCTGGTAGCCCATGAACAAACTTTATTTACACTTTGGAAATAAACACACATGTGAAGCTAATAAAGATAAATTGGCCATTTCAAATATACATATTTGTTCTTAAATAAACATAAATAAAGCATCTTAATTATCTCGGTGCTGGAAAAATGTGAGACTGTAGTCTGTAACGCGGATCGAGTGCTTTTATAAGATGACAAGAGCCCACATCTCCAATCACCCAAAACTGCTGTAAATCTTCAGCAGTGAACACCCGCACTGCCTTTGCTATTTTATGTGTCTCTCTGAACCAGTTGGGTTTGTTTGCTTGAAGGATTCAGCGAGGGATTGTTGCTGTTTGGAGGACTTTATTACCTTCTCTGCTCTCCTGCTTCAGACAGTGATATTGCTGGGTGATGCGCTGCAGATGTGCAGTCGTGGTTATACGTGTAAATCAATGCTTGCACACAGTTATTTTTTGTTCATTGTTTTTTCTTTTACTGGCATTAAACTTATCGGAAAAACAGAAATGTCCTCACACTGCAGATTTGAAAGACGCCGGCGCTTTCTCGTACTGTTGCCTCACTTCGCCGGCGCTTCCTTGTACTGTTGCCTGACTTCACCGCCGCTCGCCATGTTAAAGTGTGGAATGATGGTCAAGCGCTCTCTAACTTTAGAGCATAGTGATTGGATATTTACTCGCGGGGAGGAATTTCCTCATCTCAGCTCATGCACTTACAGGCACACACAGTCAATTCGGGGAGATATGAAACGCTCATAAATTATTTAAATGCAAAACCGAGAAAACCGCAATTCACAAGCGCTTATTGAACCGTGGAGGTCGTACCGTACGGTTTAATATTATATTGAGAACCGTGGCATCCCTAGTTTTTACCTTTTACTCTTATTTGCCTAAATAATAAAAAAAAAACTCAGTGACGGTGTTATCAAAACTTTCAGAAATACAGAAAACGACGTCACATTTACTGTCTCGTCGCCCTCGTACACTCTGCAGTACAAGAAGGATCCAACGCTGTCTCATGGCAATACCTAACTTCCTGATTCAGTGGCTAATTTGTATGAATTTGTACAATCTCATACATATAATATTGTACGATTTGCTTATCCACAAATGATGGTTGGGTTTAGGGGCGGGGTTTGATGCCACGCTGTGCGAATTAGCCACTAAACTGACAAAACGTACAATAATTAGGTCTCCTAATGAGGTCAGGCTGAATGATCAGTTATGCATCTCTATTTGTATGTGTATGATTGGCTGCTGTGTGTGTGTGTGTGTGTGTATGTTTGTATGTGTGTGTGCAGTATCAGTGTTTTCCGCAGTGTAAGAATGGCTTCAGGGTGGGTATGAGGCTGGAGGGCATCGACCCCGAACACCCGTCCATGTACTGCGTCCTGACCATCGCTGAGGTAAAAACAGTAAAATACACCTCACACAATCACTGCTGTAGCCTCTTAAGAAAGTCCACTTTTCATTTTTATTAGTTTTTTATTTTTTGTTTTGTTTGTTATATTTTTCTTTTATTTTGTATTTCATTTTGTTTTATGTATGTGTATATATATATGGTGTCACAGTTTGCCTGTTTTCCCCGTGTTGGTGTGGGTTTCCTTCCGGGTGTTCCGGTTTCCTCCACAAGTCCAAACATATGTGCTATAGAGTAATTAAATAAACTAAATTGTCTGTAGTGTATGAGTGTGAATGCAAGAGTGTATGGGTGTTTCCCATTAAAGGGTTGCGGCCGGAAGGGCATCCATTGCGTAAAACATATGCTGGATAAGTTGGCAGTTCATTCTGTTGTGGCAACACCAGATTAATAAAGGGACTAAGCCAAAACGAAAATGAATGATTGAATATATATATATATATATGTGTGTGTGTGTGTGTGTCTGTGTATAAGTTTATTACATATTTTAGTTACATTTTTTTATTTATTTAATTTGTTAAAAAAAAATTTACAGAATCACTGTTGTAGCCTTTTAAGAAAGTGCAATTCTATTTTGGTTTTTATTTTTGTGTTATTTTGTATATTTTTTATTTTTGTGATTTATCGATTATTTTTATTTATTGTTATTTATTTGTTGTAGCCTTTTAAGAAAGTACACCTTTGTTTTATTTAATTTTTTTGTATTTTTTTACTTGTTTTTATTTTATTTCATTTTACTGACCATTTCTGTTTTTATTTAATTTTATTTGATTTGGTTTATATTCTAATTTAGTTTAATTTGTTGTTATTTTTATTTTATTTCAATTTTGTTTTTATATATTATTATGGTGTTTTATGCTTATATTTTCAATAAAAAAAAAAATATATATATATATATATATACATATATTTTTTTTGTGTTTACATTTTTTAATTGTATTTAATTTAAAACTTTTATTGATATTTATTATGTATATTTTGTTTTCATTTTTATATTTCATCTTGTGCTTATTTATTTATTTATTTATTTATTAGTTCTATTTATTCATGTTTTGCAAACTGTTTTGCTCTGTTGAACACAAAAGACGATGTTTTAAAGAAATCTGAAAACCGTCATTGACTTCCTTTGACTTCCATCGCAAATGATGTTGAACAGATCCAGGAATTTTTCGCAGTATTTCCTCTAATATTTTTTCTCCTGGCGAAAGTCTGATTTGTTTTATTTCGGCTAGAATAAAAGCAGTTTTTAATTTTTAAACCATTTTAAGGTCAATATTATCAGCCCTTAAGTAATATTTGTTTTTGGTTGTCTACAGAACAATCCACTGTTATACAATGATTTGCCTAATTACCCTAACCTGCCTAGTTAATCAAGTTAAGCCTTTAAATGTCAGTTAAAGCTGAATACTAGTATCCTAAAAAATATAAAGGGCGGCTAATAATTCTCTCTTCGTTTCTCCTGTGTGTGTGTGTGTGTGTGTGTGTGTGTGTGTGTGTGTGTGTGTGTGTGTGTGTGTGTACGCGTGTGTGTGTGTTCAGGTGTCAGGGCATCGAATCAGACTCCACTTTGATCACTTTTCTGACTGCTATGACTTCTGGGTAAACTCCAACTCTCCCGACATTCACCCTGTGGGCTGGTGTGAGAAAACCGGACACAAGTTACACCCACCGAAAGGTGTGCGGGTGAATATGTGATGTGTGTTTATGTGTGTGTATGTAAATATCAATGTGTGTGTTTATGAATGTGTGTGTGTGTGTGTGTGTGTGTTTGTGTGTGAATTTGTGTGTACATGAATGTGTGTGCATGCATGAATTAATTATCTAAATGAATGTGTGTGTGTGTGTGTGTGTGTATGTGTGTCTGTGTGTGTGTGTATGTGTGTGTGTGTGTGTATGAATTTGTGTATATAATAATATGTGGATATGAATATGTGTGTGTGTGTGTGTGTATCAATTTGTGTGTAAGAATGCATGTATATATATTAATTTGTCTGTATATGAATGTGTGTGTATATATATAATTTGTATGTACAATTGTGTGTATATTAATTTGTGTGCATATGAATGTGTGTATATATATCAATTTGTGTGTATATGAATGTGTGTCTATAAATGTATTTGTGCGTATATGAATGTGTGTGTGTATATATTAGTTTGTGTGTGTGAATGTGTGCCTGTGTGTCTATATACTATATTAATTTGTGGGTATATGAATGTGTGTGTATATATTAATTTGTGTGTGTATGAATGTGTGTGTGTACTGTATATTAATTTGTGTGCATATAAATGTGTGTGTATATAATAGATTGTGTGTGTATGAATGTGTGCATGTGTGTGTATATATACTGTATTAATTTGTTTGTATATGAATGTGTGTGTGTGTGTATATATTAATTTGTGTGCATATGAATGTGTGTGTGTGTGTATATATTAATTTGTGTGCATATGAATGTGTTTGTGTATATATTAGATTGTGTGTGTAAATGAATGTGTGTATATGTAGTGTATTAATTTGTGTCCATATGAATGTGTGTGTGTATATATTAATGTGAGTGCATATGAATGTGTGTGTGTGTATATATTTGTGTGCATATGAATATGTGTGTGTATATATTATTTTTGTGCATATGAATGTGTGTGTGTGTATATATTTGTGCGCATATGATTGTTTGTGTATATATTAGATTAAGTGTGTAAATGAATGTGTGTGTGTGTGTGTGTGTGTGTGTATATATAGTGTATTAATTTGTGTGCATATGAATGTGTGTGTATATAGCATAATAATTTGTGTGCATATGAATGTGTGTGTGTGTATATATATTATTTGTGTGCATATGAATGTGTGTGTGTATATATTAGATTGTGTGTATGAATGTGTGTGAATATATAGTGTACTAATTTGTGTGTAAATGAATGTGTGTGTAGGGATGAAGGATGAAGAGTTCAGCTGGTCCTCCTACATCAAGCTCAATAAAATCCAGACGGCACCCAAAGCCCTGTTTCACAACCAGAACATGGTGAGTGCGGAAACCACAGAAGTGTGTGTGTGTGTGTGTGTGTGTGTGTGTGTGTGTGTGTGTGTGTGTGTGTGTGTGTGTGTGTGTGTGTGTGTGTGTGTGTGTGTGTGTGTGTGTGTGTGTGTGTGTGTGTGTGCGTGTGTGCGTGTGTGTGTCTGCAGATGGCGCTGTTTCTCTTCATTTAATTCATTTAACTTCATTTCACTTCAGCAAGACATAAACACACACGTGCCTTAAGCTAAACCCTTTGTGATTTAACAGCTACAGCACAGAGATGCCAGCGCAACTGAATGTTTCCTTTAAAACCCAACATTTATTAAACAGAAATACCATTTAAAATAAGTTATAGAACGACAAATATTTTCTAAAATACAATATTATATACAAAAATAAATTGACTAATGTGCGTGTGTGCATGTGTGTGTATAATAACTTAATTAAATAATTGGTAACAATAATAATAATAAAAAACACATTATTGCATTGAATTTTAAATTGCAAACATCTTTCCAAAGACATCCAGTTTTTATTTATCCTTTTATGAAGTGACCAAAAAGGACCACACTTATTTTTTCTCTGATTACACATGTTCATTTTTCAAGAGTGAGATTATCAGCCATTTCCTTTATCCACTGTGCAAGAACCGATCTTTGGATGTTTTTCCCATTAGTTATACAGTTGTACGCAAAGGTTTACATACACTGGATAAAAAGGCACATAACCATTTAAAAAAGTCAGATGTTTAATGTGACTAGAGTTTTTCTCTTTTAGGTAAGTAAGGATGATCACATTTGTGTCTGTTCTGCTTAATAGCAGAATAATGAGAGAGAGATTGTTTGAGAAATTGTTATAACTCTTGTTGAAAGTCAAGTTTATAGCAATCAGATTATTCTGCCTCTGGAAAAGCTCAGATGATGATGTCAGGGTTTTGGACGTTTCTGATTTGCTAATTGACAACATTTGAGTTCATGTGAGGCACAGCTGTAGAATAGTATTGAAGGAAAAGCTCAAACACACTGCTTCCTTGTGTGACAACATGGAGAATCAACAAGCCAGAATCAACACAAAAGCCGGATTACAATTTGCTGAATTACACTGGGAATAGACTCATGTTTGGAGACATGTCCTGTGCTCTGATGGAGCTAAGATTGAACTGTTTGGGCATAATGAGCAGTGTTACATTTGGAGGACAAAGGGGAAATCAACAAGCCTAGAAACACCATCCCAACTGTGAAGTATGGGGGCGGCAGCATCATGTTGTGGGGCTGTTTTGCTGCAGGAGGGACTGGTCCACTTCACAGCATAGATGGCATCATGAAGAAAGAACATTATGGAGAAATACTGAAGCAACATCTCAAGACATCAGCCAGGACATTAAAACTTGACCACAAATGAGTCTTCCCAACAGACCATGACCCTCAGCATACTGCCAAATTAGTTCATATGTGCTTTAAGAACTACAGAGTGAATGTTTTGGAGTGGCCATCACAAAGCCCTGATCACAATCCTATAGAAAATGTGTGGGCAGAGTTGAAAAAGCTTGTGCGAGCAAGACAACCTACAAATCTGACTCGGTTACACCAATTCTGTCAGGAGGAATGGGCCAAAATTCCAGCAAACTATTGTGAGAAGCTTGTGGAAGGAGACAAAACATTTGACCAAAGTTATACAGTTTAAAAGCAAAGCTAAAAAAAATACCAAGGAAATGTGTGTAAACTTTAGACTGTCTAGAAATTAATAGAAAATTCTCAGAAAGAAAAAATTATCTTATTATTCTGGCATTTAGCAAATGTAAATAATTCAGGTAATCCTTACAGATCTAAAATAGTAAACGTTTAGTATGATTTACCATCAGACATCTTTTAAAATGGTTATGTTCCTTTTTTTAGAGTGTGTGTAAACTGCTGGTTTCAACTGTATGTAGAGTTAAAGTCCACATAAACCTGAAGCTGTGACGCAGTTTCTGGAGAAACTGTATATAAAAATGAGTAAACAGTGGGTGTGGCTTGTTTTTTCTACTGCAAGCTGATTGGCTGTAGTAAAGTAGGCGTTTCATTCAGAAAGACTGGAAAAAGGGTTTGGGGAGAGTTATTACAGCTTACAGACTCCTCCTGTTCACCATTTCTGTGTGTTGTCTAAACTGACCGCTGGAGGGGCGTGGTTATGTATGTTAGCCCCGCCCAACACCTCAGACAGACCTAATCTGAGAATTTAACTAACAACAAACAGGAAGTGCATTAAAGACTCCAAGAGCAATCTGTTGTTTTCTTTCTTATTGACATGCACAGATGAATTGTTCACCACTAAACTAGCAGTGTGAGCTAACAGAATCATTATGGTTGCTTTTAGATTTCATGTACTTTAATATAGTGTGTGTTTGTGTGTGTCCTCCAGACGGTGACTCCATCAGGTTTCAGGGTTGGCATGAAGCTGGAGGCCGTCTGCAGGAAAGATCCTACTTTCATCTGCGTCGCCACGGTTACGGACATGGTGGACAGCCGCTTCCTGGTGCACTTTGACAACTGGGAGGAAAGTTACGACTACTGGTAAATTCCCCATGACGACGCTCTGAAGTGTGTGATAATGACATTTCCTGCACACAATCACACTCAAATGATTTGCTGTCCTGTGATTTATTTTTTTATTTTTTTTATTTTTCAATTATAAGTCAAAAGCTCAGTGTGTTTAATAATACATGTATCAAGAATGCTTAAAGCCTTACTTTATGCTGCATGACATAGATATTGATTGTTGTTTTGCTAGTTGTATTGAGGTACATGTGTGTGTTTCTTCTTTTGTGCAGGTGTGATGCCACCAGTCCTTATATTCACCCAGTTGGCTGGTGTCAGGAGAACGGCAGGACCCTCAGCACCCCTCCAGGTCAGTAAACACATCCACACCAGTCTCAGGCTCTCTAATATTCAGTTAAAGTCAAAAATACTACCCTCATTTGATTTCTTTTTCAAATATTTCCCAAAAGATGTGTAACAGATTCAGGAATTTTTCACAGTATTTCCTATAATACTTTTTCTTCTGGCGATAGTCTTATTAGTTTTATTTTTATCAGTTTTAAATTTATTAAAAAAACATTTTAAGGTCAATATTAATAGTCCCCTTAATCAATATTTGTTTTGTCTTAGACAAACCACTGTTTGCCTAATTAACTTTAATTAACTTTTAACTTTGAGGGCCCTATCATGCACCCGGCGCAATGTGGCACAAGGCACAACGCAATAGTTGTTTGCTAGTTTCAGCTTGGCGCAAGAGTCGTTTTGACATTTTGCACCACGCTGTTTAAATAGCAAATGCATTTGCGCTCATACGTGCGCCCATAGGCGTTCCGGTCTAATAAAGGAGGTGTGTTTAGATGCATTGCTGGCGTGTTGCTATTTTAAGGAACTATAATAGACTGCACAATATACCAGATCAAAGCAGGTCTATAGTCCAGCGCAGAGCGTGTTAGTTGTGCGCCTCTCTTAAACATTGCTTAATACAGACATGATGTACAGCAATACGCAAATATCTTTACATATGAAAAAGAGTTAAAGGATTAAAATATTACAAAACATATTATTTTCTAGCCTACATAAATATAAAAATCACTGCCTTCATGCTTTCTTCATCTCAGGCGGCTTTTTCAGTTTATTCATGACAATTTGCTTTTGTATAATGTTATTATTATTAGCAGTATTATTTATTATATGCATATTTATATTTGTTTTTAATAAAAAAACAAGCTTAGATTTGTCCACCTGTCAGGTTTTAGACCATATGGGGCTCAGCATGTGTATTAGGACATAACTCAGGTTTTTGAACACACTTCGTTGTTATTGTTCATTTATTCATTTGCTGGAAATTAGAACTGAATTTAGAAACAGTTTTGAAACTAATCTTTGCGCTTAACAAACAAAATTAATTATGTAAAGGCTAATGGATGTCTGCGTACAACACCTTTCCCTATTCACTAAAGTGAATGTGAAAGTAAATAATGAGGAGGCTCATCTCTTATTCTCCCCTGCAGATGCTCTGTTTAACTGTTTTCTCGCCATTGAAGCGTTCAGTTTACAAAGTCTGCCATGTAAATACCAAATGCGCTTATGCCGCGACCCAACTGACTCTTTAAAGGGGATGGGAGATGAGACTATGGTTCATTCTCATAAAATACACCTATAACTCATTAAGAAAATAAGCTTAACCCTGTTAGACCATGCGCCATGGCGCAAAGCGGATTTTCCCATACTTTAAATAGCAAAAGTGGATTCGGACACGCCCTTAATGCCTTTGCGCCCTGCGCTTTGGACTTTGTGCATGGACTTTCAAAATAGAGCCCTAGATGTCACTTTAAGCTGTATAGAAGTGTCTTGAAGAATATCCAGTCAAATATTATGTGCTGTCATCATGGCAAAGATCAAATAAATCAGTTATTAGAGATGAGTTATTAAAACTATTATGATTAGAAATGTGTTGACAAAATCTGCTCTCCGTTGAACAGAAATTGGGGAAAAAAATAAACACGGGGGCTAATAATTCTCACTTCAACTGTATGCCGTATTTTTCGTGTGTGTATGTGAGTAAAATACATGTACGGTACCTGATATGACTTATTATTGAATCAAATTTTGTGAATCATAATTAATTCGAACAGACAGAACTGAAGAGTGTGTATTTAAGAGGTTAGCTGCGTCCAACATCGCACACTTCCATACTATATTCATTCATTCATTCATTCATTTTCTTGTCGGCTTATTAGTTTTTCCCTTTATTAATCCGGGGTCGCCACAGCGGAATGGACCACCAACTTATCCAGCAAGTTTTTACACAGCGGATGCCCTTCCAGCCGCAACCCATCTCTGGGAAACATCCACACACACATTCACACACACACTCATACACTACAGACTAACATAGCCTACCCAATTGACCTGTACCGCATGTGTTTGGACTGTGGGGGAAACCCACGCGAAGGCAGGGAGAACATGCAAACTCCTCACAGAAACGCCAACTGAGCTGAGGTTCGAACCAGCAACCCAATGACCTTCTTGCTGTGAGGCGACAGCACTACCTACTGCGCCACTGCCTCGCCCATACCCATACTATATAGTATGCTGAAACAGTATGTGAGCCGAGTAGTATGTCTGGATTCATAGAATTGGAAAAACAGTATCTGAGAAGTTCCTGTATGACCTACTGCTTCCGGCGCATCGGGTGCACTCTATTCCATGATGCACCATGAAAGAATTCATGAATGGGAGTGAAGTGATGCAACTGGTCACGTGATCATGTTAAAATGCTGGATGTAGAACGTCCGAGCTCAATTCATACAACTGACATTCATCCAGTGTAGAATGTACTTTTGTAGCAGCCGAGTAGTGCATTTACATTCAAATGCAGAACCCACTGAGTTGTGGGTGATTTCAGACGCAACCTTCGAAAATCGAGATCAAAAATGGATCAAATCTTGTGAACTGTATTGAATTGTGAACTTTGTGTCAATGTCCAGCTTAACAATGGACCTTAATAACCAGTGAGATATACCATCATAATTATTTGAATTGACAGAAATGAAGAGTGCATATTTAATAAATTCATCTCCACCAGCTCCTGAATGTGTGTGTGATCTGTGCTGTAGGATACCCCGATGCGAACAACTTCTCCTGGGAGAAATACTTGGCCGAGACCAGCTCATTACCAGCTCCTGCTCGAGCCTTCAAAGTGGTGAGTGTGTGTTTGGCCAAACATTTCCAGCCACACAATGCCGCGACACATGATTGAAGAAATATTTTCCATGCCACAAGAAGTGTTTGTCATTCGTCTGCAACGGTGATGCACAAAAGTTTTATTTTAGAAACGATTATTATTTCTGTGAAGTTGCGACACAACAACCGCATAAACTACTGCGAGAGTGACAACCTCAGGTACTGATTATGGGCTTTATTCACTGTTAAATCAAATCCTGTCTGTAGACTGATTTCACGCGGCCGCCATTTTCAAAAGTGAAATCGAGGCTGTGGTGGGAAGAAACCGGGAAGTATCATTGGGAGTTACATAGGAATGTTGTGTAACTGGCTATATAGCTTATCAGCGAAGAGAAAGTGACACAATTTTATCATTTCACCGCCTTCCGGGTGACCCGGAGGTGAATATAATAAGGGATATCAGAGGTCATTTTCAGCTAAGTTAAGGGAAATGGCACTAGTTAGCTAATGTTTTCTTTCCCAAACACACGTTTTAGATGCTATTTATCAAACTCGAGTTAATAAACTGATTCTTTCATTATATTAGACTTATTACGATACTGAATAAAAGAAAAAAACATAAATTTCCCGCGAACATAAAGGCACTGTTGATGGCTTTCTTAAAACAGTGCTGATTTGCCATTGTGGTCAAGTGTTCAACAGAAATGATTGTGATTGGCCGAGAGATCATCAGTTCACCACTGTTTACCGAGCACAGACACAACACAGACAGAGGATTGGAGCGATCTGCTTGTTGATTCGACTAAACTTCAAGGCAAGGCTGCTTCGCGCTTTAGTCTCCGTGTATCTGTGTTTGCACTGGGTGAAGAGCAGTAAGCGGGAAATAGCCGGGTTTAAAACTTCAGTACCTGGGGTCCGTTCTTCGTACGTGGATTATTCAGTTAGCTGGATTTGGATATTGACGATTTGACAAGATCCAGGATCGTTTCGTTCTTCAAAGCTGATCCGAGAGTTGTTGTCATAGCAACAGTTCTGCTAGCTTAAACTTGATCGGGAGCAGGTTCAATTCATATAAACAGGATTAGATCGGCTCAGTTCAAGCAAAGATAATACAGAAAGTATGTTCTGAATTCTGATATTTTCTTACAGTAGTAGTTATATACACTTGGGAAAATGGTACATATTTTTAACTATATATATAAAGTTATAGTTATTAATAAAATAAATAAAGTTAAATATATTAATAAAACTTATGCAATCTGCACCCCGAAATGAAAGTACATAGACTGCCACCTGGTGGTGCAAAGAGAAAACTTATTGATATGAACTTTTTAGATCGCTTTAGTACAAATTGTGTATAATAGAAATGCAATATGTCACTTTTTTTAAAGCAATAATACATTTATGCAGTCATAAACATGCTTTGATAGTTAATATGCCAGTGATTTGATGCGTCACAAAAGTTGCAGACGCCTTTACCAATATCAAAATGCTTTTGTAAACAACACGTTATTCTTTACACCGATTAAAAAAAACAACTACTATAATAAAGAAAATCTTTTCTAAATGTCGAATTAAATACATTGATATGCATTAAAATACATGATGAATACTCTTGACACATGAAAGTGTAAGGCCTGCAGCTCACAACAAATGTGGAAGGTTATCGCGTGTCATATTTAACAAGCCGTTTACTGCTAATTTGATGTAATTTTGCTCACATGGATAATTGAATATTAATCAGATGATGTCATTACGCTGCTGTGCCGTCAGCCAATCGTTGCATTGCTGATCATGATTTCGAGGATCGATAGATCTGTCCTTCACAACACACGCAGCGATCTCAGATCAGTTTATCCAGACATTCTAATCTGATTCGCAAACTTGTTTGAAGAACCAAATTAGCGAGAGATCAGTTATCAAGATTAAAAGATCCAGGATCTGCCAAATAATCTTAGATCATTTAAGCGAGGTACGAAGAACGGACCCCAGGACAACACTATTACAGACAGCACGAGGAGGTGCTGCAGAGGACTGCAGTGTTTTATCGCTCACCGGGTTACATAGACTGAAGCAGGAAACCTCACAGTGTTTTAACTGGTGCCATGAACTGAAGCCCAGGAGGACACTTAAGCACATCACTGAGATTGTGATGTTGTTTGATGCTAAATTGCTTTTAATTGTTTAAAATAAACTTACTGAATAATATTAAAGTGATGGTTACATCATTTCTGCATTTTGAAATCTCGGCAACAGCTGGAGGTTTATAGTACACGGCATGTTACTGCAATGTTTACAGTGCTGGTCCTATACTTCCGGGTTTCTTCCCACCGCAGCCTCGCTTTGGTTCTTTAAAATGGCGGCCGCGTGAAATAAGCGTATAGCTGTGTTTACATCCAAAGATGCAAATTAAATGTATGCATGAAACTTTAATATCGCATGAAAGATTTGCGAATAAAACAGTGATTCCATCCAATGAGAAACACGAGAGAAGAAAATCATCACTTGCTGATAAACTGCAGCAAATATGAGTCTGGGAAATGTAGTTGAGAGTGTTTGCAGAAGCCACTGTGGTGTATTTTCTTCTCTAATAAATGAGTTGCGCCTCAGAAGATGAATACAAAACACAATGAACGCAATGTGGTGCTTTTGGAGGTGTGAGACGCTCTTTGGGAGCACAGACTGATGCTCAAGACAGTTCTGGAGGGAATAATAATAGAGTAATAATAATGCTGAAGCTCTGTGATGATGGACTGACGGCTGAGGCCTTTTAGAAATCAGCAAAACCACATTTCCGTTGGTGACATGGTGAAGGGGAGGCATGAACATGTTTCTTACTTTCTTTCTCTCTGCAGAAACCTCCTCATGGTTTTCAGGTGAACATGAAGCTAGAGGTGGTCGACAAGAGGAACCCTGTTCTGATCCGCGTCGCCACAGTAGCTGATACAGACGATCATAGACTCTGGGTGAGAAACTACATTATGGGCACTTGACTTTTTTGTTGGTCGACTGGTCAGCTCAGTGCCCGCTTACATTTCCTTTTTATTGGTAAGACAACTTTGACCTTACAGGGAACATCTCTAATATGTATAAAGGATGATTTTAATCATGCTGATTCTAGCGGCAGTCAGTGAACAGCAGACGGCGCTCTAGGCTAGTTTTTTAACCTCAGACGGCGCTCTAGGCTAGTTTCTAAAACCAGTTGGCACTTTAGGCTAGTGTTTAACAGCAGATGATGCTGTAGGCTATTGTTTAACAGCAGACGGCACTCTAGGCCATGTTTAACACCAAACAGCGCTCTAGACTAGTTTTAACAGCAGACGATGCTTTAGGCTAGCTTTTAACAGCAGATGCCGCTCTAGGCTAGTGTTTAACAGCAGACAGTGCTCTAGACTAGTTTTAACAGCAGATGGTGCTCTAGGCTAGTGTTTAACAGCAGATGGCGCTCTAGGCAAGTTTTTAACAGCAAATGTGCTCTGGGCTAGAGTTTAACAGCAGATGGCGCTCTAGGCTAGTGTTTAACAGCAGACAGTGCTCTAGACTAGTTTTAACAGCAGATGGTGCTCTAGGCTAGTGTTTAACAGCAGATGGCGCTCTAGGCAAGTTTTTAACAGCAAATGTGCTCTGGGCTAGAGTTTAACAGCAGATGGCGCTCTAGGCTAGAGTTTAACAGCAGATGGCACTCTAGGCTAGTTTTTAACAGCAAATGTGCTCTAAGCTAGTGTTTAACTGCAGACGGCGCTCTAGACTAGTGTTTAACAGCAGATGCCGCTCTAGGCTACTTTTTAACAGCAGACAGCACTCTAGACTAGCGTTTACCAGCAGATGGCGCTCTTGGCTAGTTTTTAACAGCAGACGATGCTCTAGACTAATTTTAACAGCAGACGGCGCTCTAGACTAGTGTTTAACAGCAGATGGCGCTCTAGGCTAGTTTTTAACAGCAGACGATTCTCTAGCCTAATTTTAACAGCATATGGCGCTTTAGACTAGTGTTTAACAGCATATGGCGCTCTAGGCTAGTTTTTAACAGCAGACGATGCTCTAGACTAATTTTAACAGCAGACGGCGCTCTAGACTAGTGTTTAACAGCAGATGGCGCTCTAGACTAATTTTAACAGCAGACGGCGCTCTAGACTAGTGTTTAACAGCAAATGGCGCTCTAGGCTAGTTTTTAACAGCAGACGATGCTCTAGACTAATTTTAACAGCAGACGGCGCTCTAGACTAGTGTTTAACACCAGATGGCGCTCTAGGCTAGTTTTTAACAGCAGACAATGCTCTAGACTAATTTTAACAGCAGATGGTGCTGAATGAACTGCTAACTTATCCAGCACATGTTTTACGCAGCGGATACCCTTCCAGCTGCAGCCCATTTCTGGGAAACATCTTTACACATTCATACACTATGGACAATTTAGCCTACCCAATTCACCTATACCGCATGTCTTTGGACTTTTGGGGTAGCACCCGGAGGAAACCCACGCGAATGCGGGGAGAACATGCAAACTCCACACAGAAACGCCAACTGAGGCTCGAACCAGAGACCTTCCTGCTGTGAGGCGACATCACTAACTATTGCGGCACCGCAACACCTTCACGAAAACAAAAACTGCAATCAAATTTAACTCCTGTGACATATTTGGTGCTCTCCAGAAATGTATATAGGGCTGCATTTTCAGAATGAGATTGAGTTGAAAAACAAGATTATTTTACCTTGTTTTAAGGAAAGATTTAACTTGTTTCAAGGAAAAACTGACTCAATTTTGACCTATTATTAATAAGTTTTTGCTTGTCCGGAAAATGCTTTTTTATTTTAGATAATGTTTTTGATATTAAGCCTAAAAACAAGACAAAAACTCAGTGTAAGAAAAGCTCTGTTTTCAGTGAGTGGTTCACGGCCTCCTCCACCTTCAGTCGTCACCTCTGCTCGCTGACATTCACTGTGCTCTGGATGGATTTGTTGGTTTCCCACTGCTTTCTCCAATCCCCCATCAATATTCCCTGAAGCAGATGTAATTGACTTTTGAGGAGAAAGACCTTTCCTTTTCAAGTCTTTGATGGTACTCTACAAACGCCCTCCACTCTCCCACAGGACACAGAGGAGAGGTTTCGACTTTTGCCGTGTCCGGCTCAGACTCATTTGCCGGGTGTCTGGTTTATTTAATAGGATATTTTCATAGTTTATACTGTGGGATGTGGGATGGTTCACAATATTGTCAGTTCATATAATAGTTCTGTGGTCACTGGTTTTATTTTGATTTGGTTTCAATTCTAGGAAAAAAAACTACTTTAACACTTGTATACTAATATTAAAGTTATTCTCAAGGCAATGTATCCTAATTTCAGCCTTAGTGTTTTAAGGAATAAGCCGCCAACTTATCCAGCACATGTTTTACACAGCGGATGCCCTTCCAGCCACAACCCAACACTGGGAAACACTAAATATGGGTATTCATATTAAAATATATTGTGTTCAATGGGGAAAAAAGTAGTTTTTACACTTTAAAAAGAACATATTTAAGAGCAGTAATCCATGATACTGTGAAAATTAAATCTGAGGTTGTAGTGTCATGTCATGATTTTAATGATTTCATGACACTAATAACGTACAAGATCGTCATACACTGCCTGACAAAAGTCTTGTCGTGAACCTCAGTTGTAAGAGCAACAAATAATAACCTTACTTCAAGTTGATCATTTGGAAAAGTGTCAGAAGGTGGATTTTTCCCATGGGTCATCTGTTGAAATGCATCCCAATCATCACAAATACTCCAGAAGACCTACTGGAACCAGCATGGACCCAATATTCTCACAGAAATCAGTCAAGTTTGGTGAAGGAAAAATCATGGTTTGGGGTTACATTTAGTTGGGGGGCGTGCGAGAGATCTGCAGAGTGGATCAACATCAACAGCCTGAGGGATCAAGACATTTGTGCTGCCCATTACATTACAAACCACAGGAGAGGGGCAATTCTCCAGCAGGATAGCGCTCCTCATACTTCAGCCTCCACATCAAAGCTCCTGAAGGCAGAGAAGGTCTTATTGCTCCAGGATTGGCCAGCCCAGTCACCAGACATGAACATTACTGAGCATGTCTGGGGTAAGATGAAGATGAAGGATGAAGATGAATCCGAAGGATCTTGATGAACTCTGGGAGTCCTGCAGGAACGCTTTCTTTTCCATTCCAGATGACTTTATTAATCAGGGATTTAAGTCAGTGCAGAGATGTATGGATGCAGTCCTTGGATAGGCGACAAGACTTTTGTCAGGTAGTGTACATGTACATGTTGCCCACCAGTGAATATGTAAAGATATAAAGCTGCAAGCAGACGTCACCCCATCCACGGATGTCATGGTTCCCTAAAATGTTGCCCTAGGCACATGTTTCCGATGAGCTTGGGTTAGTGACTGTTGGCTGTTCTGCGAAAACACTAACAACCTCTTCAGCCATCCCGGTTCCTGCTGCTGTCCGGCTGATTTTCCCAAAACTCCCAGTGTCCTGGAGACAAGCCGCCATTTAAGCACTATCGCTGCTCTTTTCTTCTCATTGTTCTGATAGCAGCAACATTTCTGAGCGTCAAACACAATATGACCATATTGGCCTGCCAGCCATCTGAATGCCGCCAACGTTTCTCTAAGATTCCAGTTCAAACATTAATGTCTCTAGAGAAGTGCATTGCAATATGATGATAATCTTCTCATGGGAGCTTGAAAAGCTACTAGCCAAAGCTGTTTCTGCTTTCATCTGAAGTGCCTCTGGTGATTTTGTAGCTTATATAAGAGTATGAGGTTTATTTACCACCACAGAACCTGCTGCGCTGGGATTTAACATCACTTTCATGCAGTGACACCAGAGAAAGACACCTTGACCCGTTAGGAACAGTTCCTTAAAATAATGTTGATAGCTCAGGCTAGTTCAACATTGAGACCAAACTAGCATCCTGCCACTGTACTACAAACATGTTTTTTTTTTACGTTTTTGCTTTGACTCAGTTAAATAGCAACATTTGGTATCGAGACTTGTATTTTAACAAATTGGTGTTAAGAAGCTGGTCTACGTCTGGACACATGAGGTGCGTCCCAAATCGCATTCTTATGCACTCTTCTGCGCCGTTTTGTTGTATAAATAGTGTAAGTAGCGCGTTCACACTGAAAACTCTAAAAAATAATAAGCGCACTTTAATTACCTGAATGATGCACTCATTCAGACGGTAAAATGAAGTGTGGATTATTGGACACTTCACGCACTCAACGGCTGCTGCTTTGCTCGCATAGCGGAAGGTGCGGAGCTTTCGGGCAAGGATGCTGGATTATTTTATTTGGATTGTGAAAGCAGTATTCTCCTACGAGAGTGATTATAGCGCCTCCCGGTGGTGAATGTGGCTATACTCACAGCAGGGATTATTTGTTTATTTATTTCACTAATATGGACACCGTCAAATGTCATCTGGGAAACGGTTTGAATTTACACTTTAATTTAGGACGACACTACATACATATACTGTGCTGTAGAGTGTGTAAGTGCATAAGTACACAGTGCATAGTGTATAGTGAGCCATTTGGAATGCAGCTAGGGTAAACAAAGGGGTTGTGCATTGACCTGCGGCGTAAGCATGAGATAGTTCTAGGTACTTTGGTTGATAACCACCTGATCGAATTAGTTGAAAGTTAAAAGTTCCTAGGTACTATCGTCGATAATAAATTACATTTGAATGAAAATACTGAAAGACTACGAAGGACAGGCCAACAAAGACTTTATTGTCTGCGAAAATTAGCAAGGTTTAAGATTGTTAGGACTCTTATGCTGTGTTCACACCAGACGCGGAACGCGCGAATAAATCGCACTATTCGCTCGTAAATAGCCGCGTGAATATTTGAGGTTACTCGTTTTATTCGTGCGTCAAACCCCGCTTCATTCGCGCGTCAAATTCACTTAAGAACAACCGCTTCATTCGCATGATGGGCAGGGCTTCTGTCTGCCCCGTGACTCTAGCTTCATAGCTAAAGGGCTAACATGGATTTTATAAAGAAAATAACAGTGTTTATGTACTTTATGAAGGATGATAAACAGCGTTGATATGTTTAGGGCTGTGTCTGAGTCCACTACATCCTTTCAGAGATGCATCCAGCTCTTTAAGCTCATAGACTCCTCCAGAAACTGAACCTGGCTGATGGAGGTTTTCAGCGGTGCTTCTGACTGAGCCCAGCCCAGTTTGATGAACTTCTTGTCGGTGTCTGCTGGGGGATTTCCCCTGGGACACCGACAACAGGCGATACGTCACAATCACGCCCCCACAAGAGCAAGCTTCTGATTGGTTAACGCCCCGTGAATGTCCGGTGAAGTTCAGATTTTCAAACTCGAGTGATTTGCGCGTTAAACGCGCAAAACGCTGAATTCGCGACACGCCATTCGCGCATATCAAACCATGTGCACCGCGCCATTCGCGCAATTCTCGTCATTCGCGCTGCACCATTTGCACGTATCGCGCCGCAGGATGTCTATTCACACGTTTGCATTGACTTAACATGTAAATCACTCGTTCCGCGTCTGGTGTGAACGCAGCATAATGGTGACATTTTTAAGGCCTATATAGAATCCATTTTCACCTTTTCATTGATTTGTTGGTTTGCTTCTTTTAAAGTAAAACAGAAGAACTCACTGGCTACGGTTTTCAACACCTGCAGTATTCCTATGAAAGCCCATCAGGATCTGATATATCCCATCCTCTTTTTGATTCATTTCAAAACCTTCCCTCAGGATCTCGGCATAGAGTCCCTTTGGCAAGGACCAACAGCATGGTTTCCCCTACATTCATTCTTTCGTGGCCGGGCGCCACACCAAAATTCATCCCGCCACGACTACATTACAGCTTCTTATTCAAAATATTCGGTCGTGTTTTAAATATCGGGTTAAAATCGCACGGAAAACGTATTACATTTACAATTAGTCATTTAGAGTGAATAATAACAGCGCAAACTTTTCTGTGAGCGTAGTAGTGCTGTGCGTTCTGTTTAACGCTTTAAGGTGACATGCTGACTGAATGACTGACAGGTGCGTGATGCGTGAGGCCAGCAAACACGGCGTAGCTTTCAGTTATGATGAACACAGTTTCCATAATTATACTTTATTTATAGATAAAGGTCTGTGGCTCTGCATATAATGACTTTATCTTTCTGAAGTTTACAGCCGCTTCACTTTACTTCAGGACGCATTAATGCCGCGGTCTGCTCCGCAAGTCTATCGGAGACATTCATAAATATTCCTAGCAAATCTAATCAATGCTGGAGACATACTCGGTACATAAATGCACTAAATCACACTTCAGCCGCGTTTATTTGAGGGCGCACAAGAAAATCTGCACATGAGCAGCGTATTTTTGAGGGCGCGCAAGAAGTTTTGTGCACGAACAGGAAATCGGCGCTCAAGCAGAGATTGACATGCTCGTAGGCTATTACATGAATGCGATCTCGACTTAATACTGTGCCCATGACATTTGTCAATGAAATAACGCCACATGTAGTGGTAAATATGTGTAAAATGGCCAATAGAGTCTGCCGCCACAGCTTTAAAAAATCCTAGAGGAAACACTGAACAGATTGAAATGTTCATGTGTTCTTTGTGGGCTTGATTTGCTGATTTTTAATGGGAAGAAGTAGTTGCTGTTTTTAACACTATTTATGTTGTTTAATGTTTGTCTTAAGTGTTTGGTTTGATTATGTGATATATGTGTTGTAAATCTATCATGCTGCTGAACAAACTGTAATTCTCTCTTTCAGATCCATTTTGATGGCTGGACAGATGAATATGATTACTGGATCGATGCAGACAGTCCAGACGTTCATCCAGCTGGCTGGTGCGCCAAAACCGGACATCCTCTGCAGCCTCCAATCAGTGAGTATGGACATCTTTCACCCGGAAGAGAGGAGTTAAACACTCCCGATAGAAAGACTGCCGCAGATGAATAGCAGCAACATTATTTTGCCATCATATATGATCATTCCATCACAATGCATTCTTATGGAAACTCTGAGGGCCCTGATAAACACTTACTATTTTCACATTGCACTCATTTGTGCACCCATGGGTGTGCTGGTTTGAAAAGCAGATGTGTTAAGGTACATTGACATGTTACCATTTTGAGAAAATGGAAATAGACGGTGCCATTGACCATCTGAAACTGCTCTAAAGTCAATGGCACATTAGTGAAAAGTGGCTTCAAAATAACCCACGTTGCTTATTACACACACAGGGATGTGCAGCAGCACAGAAATGTATTTAAATATTAAAACTTAGATGTAAAATATATAAATGAATATAAAAACCTCTACCTCCTCCTTCACCTCAGGGGGGTTTGGTGAATCTGGTTGGTTCTATTGAAGGTCTTTAACTTCACGCATAAGCACATCAGACAAAGGTCACCATGTAAATAGCGAATCCACCATCAACCACAACTCTTAAAGGCATTGGGAGATGAGACTCTGATTGGTTTAATTACGCCAAAAGCACATCCATAACTCATTAAAAACCATTTCAGACCATGCTCTTGGTGCACCGACAGTTTTTCCCATCCTTAAAATAGCAAAAGTGGATTCAGACATATCCTAAAGGAAACTGTGCAGTGCGCTTTAGACAACACAGGCTCATTCTGAAAACGTACCCCTATATACGTTTCTGGAGATCGCGAATTATGTAGCCTGAAGTACATATGGCTGCATTTCATCTTTTAAACGAACTCTACTGGGCAGTATGACGCCGTTCCTTTTCGTGCTTACCTTGATATGAACGACTTTCCCGCTGTTACCAAATTGTCTAGTTAGTTTTCCATGTACGCTGGTGGACTTAAGACACAGAGAAGAGTTGACCACGATGACAGGGTTCAAATTTAGCACAGAGTGGTTCCAGAAATCGGGTAAGACAAAAAGGGAAACCAAAAAATAATATAAACAAATAAATAGCAGGGTAAGAAGCGATTCACGCCAAAGACTGTGAATACTGATGTACAGGGTGGGCCATTTATATGGAGACACCTTAATAAAATGGGAATAGTTGGTGATATTAGTGTCCTGTTTGTGGCACATTAGTATATGTGAGGGGACAAACTTTTCAAGATGGGAGGTGGCCATGGTGGCCATTTTGAAGTCAGCCATCTTGAATCCAACTTTTGATTTTTCAATAGGAAGAGGGTCATGTGACACGTCAAACTTATTAGAAATTTCACCAGAAAAACAATGGTGTGCTTGTATTTAAAGTAACTTTATTCTTTCATGAGTTATTTACAAGTTTCTGACCACTTATAGAATGTGTTCAATGTGCTGCCCATTGTGTTGGTTTGTCAATGCAACCCTCTTCTCCCACTCTTGACAGACTAATAGGAACACCACAGCAAAATGCCAGCACAAACTTCCAGTATCCAAAGTTTCAGGTGCTGCACATCTTGTATCTTCACACAATAGACAACAAAGTTAGAGGGGCCGTTCTTCATCAGTGAAAATCTCAAGGCCACTGGATATTTTTTCTATGCTACATGATGATGTGTTTCCCTCTTTATGCACTGAAGCCGGCACGTTCCCTGAGTTTTTCAAGCAAGATGGTGCACCACCACATTATAGGTGTCAGGTCCGAGCATTCCTAGATGTCTCCTGAAAAGTTGTTTGGTCATCGTGGACCAGTTGAATGGCCCCCAAGGTCTCCCGATCTGACCCCCTTAGACTTTTATATTTGGGGTCATCTGAAGGCAATGGTCTAAGGTGTGAAGATACAAGATGTGCAACACCTGAAACTGCGGATACTGGAAGCCTGTGCTGGCATTTCTCCTGCGGTGTTGCTATCAGTGTGTGAAGAGTGGGAGAAGAGAGTTGCATTGACAATCCAACACAATGGGCAGCACATTAAACACATTGTAAAAGTGATCAAAACCTTGTAAATGACTAATGAAATAATAAAGTTACGTTAAAACCAAGCACACCATTGATTTTCTTGTAAAATTCCCAATAAGTTTGACGTGTCACATGACCCTCTTCCTATTGAAAAAAAACAAAAGTTGGATCCAAGATGGCCGACTTCAAAATGGCTACCATGATCAGCACCCATCTTGAAAAGTTTGCCCCCTCACATATGCTAATGTGCCACAAACAGGACGCTAATATCACCAACCATTCCCATTTTATTAAGTGAATCCATATAAATGGCCCACCCTGTACATGTGATTTTTTTAAGCTTTTTTTATTTTTAATAAATTTGCAACAATTTATAAAACTCTTTTTCCACATTGTCATTATTGGGAATTGTGTGTAGAATGTTGAGGAAATAAATGAATTTAATCCATTTTGAAATAAGGATGTAACATAAAACGTGGAAAAAGTGAAGCGCTGCGAATACTTTCCGGATGCACTGTATCTGCATCCATTTCAAATCAACAATTAGCTGTTTTGTGCAGTATATTGACTTCAAATTGTGTCTTTGCAGTCCTCACTGTCTCTTTGACTCTCTTAATGTTGTGTTAAAGCTTGGTTTATGGAGTCAGCTTCTGAATGACAGCTATGTTCCTGGTGGTTTCCTGAAGGATTAAAGCTGGACGGAGAGAAGCAGTTATGTGGGAATAAATGACGTGTGAACGGTCTGACTCTCATCGATATCCTCTGTTAACTGCAGAGGAAGCTGGGAAACGCTGTTGAACAATGAGCTTTTCTTCAGTCAGTCTTGCTGATAATCTTCCTCTGGTGCTGCTTCTCCTCCGCGGTGTCCATGGAAACGGATCGGAGCATGTTTAGAAATCAGCAACTGGCATCAGGATGTGACCGACTTACAGAGAGAGAGAGAGAGATTGTATACTCTGAGTCTATATATTCTCTGCATATCAGTCTGTTTCTGAGTCTATATATACATCTATAAAGAATGCATTATTTCTCTTTATGAATTTTGTCTTACACCCTTCACTCACAACTCATTTGTGCTCACATGCTACTATGGAAATATGACTAATGTCATTATTGCAGAAATTACACTACAACCCTATAATTGACATAAACATGGCCACATTTATTATAGTCACGCTAGTAATAAACCATTAACTATGACTTTTACCTTAATAAACTCATAATCTGCCGCTTATTACTGGTTATTAAGGTAGAAGTTAAAAAACGGCTAATATCTTATTAAAATGCAGGTAATGAGCCTAGTTAATAGTCAGAATTGGTACTTAAAGTTGCCATGACATCAAAATGTACTCTTCTCATTTTTAAGTAAGTATCGTTGCTCTTCATTATTTTGTTCGAATTCATTCGTGCTCATTATATCTAATCAAAAATCAAACCCTGTCCATCAAACGACTTTTCTGCACCTCTGGTCACAATAAATACCTTTAGGGTGGAGCTATCAGTCATTTAGGGTGGAGCTATCAGTCATTTCGGGCGGGGCTGTCAGTCATTTTGGGCAGGACTGTCAGTCATTGAGGGCAGGGCAATCAGTTATTTTGGGCAGGACTGTCAGTCCTTTAGGGTGGAGCAATCAGTTATTTTGGGCAGGACTGTCAGTCCTTTAGGGTGGGGTTGTCAGTGATTTAGGGAGGGGCTATCGGTCATTTAGGGTAGGACTGTCTGTCATTGAGGGCGGGGCAATCAGTTATTTTGGGCAGGACTGTCAGTCCTTTAGGGTGGGGTTGTCAGTGATTTAGGGAGGGGCTATTGGTCATTTAGGGCAGGACTGTCTGTCATTGAGGGCGGGGCAATCAGTTATTTTGGGCAGGACTGTCAGTCCTTTAGGGTGGAGCAATCAGTTATTTTGGGCAGGACTGTCAGTCCTTTAGGGTGGGGTAGTCAGTGATTTAGGGAGGGGCTATCGGTCATTTAGGGTAGGACTGTCTGTCATTGAGGGCAGGGCAATCAGTTATTTTGGGCAGGACTGTCAGTCCTTTAGGGTGGGGTTGTCAGTGATTTAGGGAGGGGCTATCGGTCATTTAGGGCAGGACTGTCTGTCATTGAGGGCGGGGCAATCAGTTATTTTGGGCAGGACTGTCAGTCCTTTAGGGTGGGGTTGTCAGTGATTTAGGGAGGGGCTATCGGTCATTTAGGGTAGGACTGTCTGTCATTGAGGGCGGGGCAATCAGTTATTTTGGGCAGGACTGTCAGTCCTTTAGGGTGGGGTTGTCAGTGATTTAGGGAGGGGCTATCGGTCATTTAGGGTAGGACTGTCAGTCATTGAGGGCGGGGCAATTAGTTATTTTGGGCAGGACTGTCAGTCCTTTAGGGTGGAGCAATCAGTTATTTTGGGCAGGACTATCAGTCCTTTAGGGTAGGGTTGTCAGTGATTTAGGGGGGGGGGGGGGGGGGGGCTATCAGTCATTTTGGGCAGGAATGTCAGTCCTTTAGGGCAGAGCTATCAGCCAATATCTTATTAATAGGCAGGTAATGAACCTTTAGGGTTGGACTGTCACTGATTTAGGGCGGGGCTGTCAGTGATTTAGGGCGGGACTATCAATCATTTAGGGTGGGGCTATCAATTATTTTGGGCATGACTGTTAGTTATGTTGGGCAGCGCTATCAGTCCGATATACACAAACCACACAATTAGTGCATGCAAAGTGTCTGCCTGAATGTTTTATATAACTTTAAGCGAAATGAAATGTCAAAATATTGGAGAAATAATGATCCATCATCAATCAGCATAACAAACAGATCTGTGTTTGTGTGTGTAGCTCCACAGGACATGTTTGAGGCATCTGAGCAGGCAGGATGTCCCACAGCAGGCTGTCGAGGAGTGGGCCACATTAAAGGAGCCCGATACTCTGGACACCACAGGTCAGTGTGTGTGCGTGTGTGTACTGGTGATTTACAAGGACATAATACAATGACATATATATATAATAAAAGTCCTCATAAGGCAAGTCATTTCAACCGGTGGCCGTCTTTGAAACCCCTCCTGATCATTCTGTCTGAATGGGGAAGTGTCAAATTCCCCACAAATGTAATCCAAGCTTACGATTACTTTACATATTAAGAATCAGCAATTAATTTAAGCAAATTAAGTCTCTTGATTTTTGTTTCTAAACATTCAAATCACACAAAATTTAAATTTTTTTAGTTTTCCCAAGCTAATGCGCACTCGAAGGGAACGAGATCACGACACCAACCTCATTTACGGCCGTTTCTGTTTACGTGTTACTCATTATCATTCTCTGAATGATGCTTCATATGATCACGCTGCTCTTCTGAAGTAATACCTGACTTTGTTTACAAGTTTGTTGGTGTTTAAGTGTTTTTTTGTTATGTGATGTGTGTTTGAATGGCGAGAATTCATAAGGTCAGGTGGGACGGACTGGGTTTATTTCATACATAATACAAATCCAGAGAGCATTGGATTTCCAGTGTAGTTGGTTTGTTTAAAAGTAGAGAGTTTAAGCTTCATATAGATATAATTCTGACGCCTATGAGGCAGGTATAACAATAGACCCTTTTCCAGGTTTGTCAGTAGCGAAAGGCATCATAGTTGGGTAAACTTCAGAGAGTACAACAAATAATTGTTTGACAATCATATTTGCTGAAATAATAAAAGAAAAGTGTCTTGTGAAAAGACAAGTAAATTGAAAGGTCATCAGTGATTGGCAGATTGGTAGTCTGAGATAAATGAGCCCAACATTAAGTCTGTATGATAGTCTGGCGCAAAGTTATGAGGTCACAAAGTTTGGTCCAATGTTAAGTCAATGGGACTTTTCCGAATTTTCCGGGTTAGTTTTCAGAAAACCGTAAGTTGGATCAATTGGAAAAGATATAGCAACCTGAGTCAGACAAGTTTGGAGTTAGTTTGGTGTTTGTAGCTTGAACAGTTTAGGAGGAGATACTTTTAGACATTAGTCTCAGAAGAAGAAGAAGTTTATGTAGGATAACAATTACGTTTTCTCAATACAAAGTACGCAAAGTTCGGACTTTCGTCCTTGGAAGTTCAGACATGCCGAAATCAGACTTGGAAGAACAAACTCCCGAGGACGCAAGGACACAAGTCGGGTACTTCTTCAAATGAAACGGCAATGTACTTTACAACGTCACTTACCTCACCATGGGTTCATCTTTGTCTCTATATGTTGACAATAAATATATTGATATTATAAATCAAAATTTTTTATTTAAGAAAATATAAACATCAATAACTTTAAATGTGATGTGAAATGGGTTATTATGCACAGACTCGTGCCTTTTATTATCAGATTTAATAAACTACAATGGACATTATACAAGTATAAAGTACAAGACGTACACAATAAAAAGTAAAGATAACGTTAAGCAATTTGGTAAACGAAGACAAACAGCGCACAACACAGTAACATAATTAAAGACCATTATAAAAGGTAACACAACAATACACCTGAGGAGAATTAGTAGATTTAAAAGACCAAAGGCTGTCCGTTTTGCACAAGATGTGTTAATTATCATGTTTTAACTACAATGGAGAGATGAGATCCAGCGGTACATCCGTGATGGACTGGCCGAAGTAAAGCTGCTCTTGGCGGGGGAGGTGATGACGGAGCTTCCGCTGGCAGGCTGGGAGTCAGAGTTGAGCAATAAGCTGAGGCACATCGTCAAAGACGCGCTATCTTTGTGAATAAGTTCCCGATTCAAGTTTAAAACTACATTCTCGCCTGAAAGTATTTTTAAAACCGTGCGGGTTTTCTCCTCCGCCATTAGCTTTTGCTGGTTACGATGCAGTGCATTCTGGGATACCTGTGCTTCGCAAGTTTGCACAAGTCACCTCTCGATGCATATTTGGGACGGAGCAAGTACACATCCGGGAATTTTATCTGTACTTGGCAAGATGTGAACTTTGAATTGGAACAGTGCTTCGGCGACGGTTGATGACGTTTCACGAGAACACAAGAACACGTATTGAGAAACAGCCAGTATGTCAGCTTTCTCAAGCCACCATAAATATTATCATTTTTACCGTATTTTTGGATCAAATAACTGTAGCATTTCAGAGTTTTGATCTATGCTTTTACACCTAGACTTTTGTTTCGTAATCTGTGTCGTTTGCCCAGTTAGCGCAGTTTATTTGGCATATGTGAAACCAGCAACCGCACCAAATCAATCGGTCTGAGATCGTCTGAATGAGGTGGTCTTCGCTCGATTGATACGAACTCTGGAGAGGATCGATGGTAGTGAGAAAGCAAAACGATCCGAGTCCGGCTATATCACAGTGTATTATGGATTTGTAATAGGCATATATGGCTATATGAAGCGAGAATTATGAGTAGGGCGAGAGGTCATTCCTACCAGTAAATGTGTGTTTCATGTTAAATATGAAAGTGAAAGCATGCTAAACTATTACCGAGAGCTGTTTATCCGTTAGGAACATTACCCAAACTGCAGTCTAGCCAGGGGCTATGGATGAGAGAGTCTTACCTCTGATTTATATCTGGTGACGACAATTGTGGGTGTCACCATTCAAAATTAAAGCACAGCTTTCCACTTATAATGTCTAATTGCTCATCGCCATCAATTAAAATAAGGACGCATGGCAGCTGAGCGGGACTCTGCAAAATAAATCATGAAACTCTGACCAATGTAAGGAGAGTTTACTCACACGAGGCTTGTTTTAGCTCTTTGGGTCCGTTTAGAAACGTTGCCGTATGAAAGCGAACCGCACCAACAAAAAAGAGCAACAATGTAACAATTTTAATCCGGGTTTCGAAACAAATGCATTGATTCGCTGGTGTGAAAGCACCCTTAAACATACTTTTGTGGCACAGAGGAACAAATGTTACAGATTCTTTTCTCTCAGTGAAGCATTTTAAGGGGAGAAAGAGTTGTGTCCATCATATCACAGCTTAGCTTTAGCAAGGGTCATTGATCTTCAGCTTCTGCTCAGCTGTCAGCCTGAGGAAAGCCACTGGATGTCTGTAATCTGATGTTTCTGCTTGGGAGAAAT